TGGTACAGGAGCTGCACTGCACAGGACAGAAAGGACTTGACCCGGGTGGTTAGAACAGCTCAGGGCATTGTAGGGAGTCCTCTTCTGGATCTGGACTCATTATACACTGACTGGATCCAGAGGAGGGCCAGACGGATTGCTGCAAACCCCACCCACCCAGGCAACAGTCTGTTTGTGCCTCTTCCCTCCAGGAAAAGGTAGAGGAATATAAAGACTAAAGCAAACAGACTGAGACACAGCTTCTATTGGATACTGACCACACCCTGACAGGGACGCAAACCCCAACTTGCCGTACCATAGTCAGCGGTGTTAACCACCGAACTAACCACCTGCTGTGTAAGCACACATTTAGAACTTTTACTGGTTTCTGCTATTGGTATAGGCATGCATTTTCTTCAGGAAATACATTTGCCTAGTTTATAACCCATTCTTCCTCTTCTGAGAATTGAGCTCTCTCACCCGCCTGCTAGTACAGTTGACTTTTGGGCTAAAGTTAGTAGCCAACTGTTAAAAGAATTTCCAAAGAAGCAACGAAGTCACTGGAATCTTTCAATAAGAGGATGGTTTACTTGCAGCAAGGAGACAAGTCAGCATAGGCATACAGAGTTGTCTGAATAAGCTAGTCTAAACATCACAATATATAGGACAAGGGGAACTCCCTAAAGATGCATTCCAGGCGTTAATCAAGTTGGAAAGAAGATTCAAACAGGAAAAGTGAACTTGAGAGGCTTTGCCCTGATAACCCCTCAGACGATAAACAATATGTTGTCCGTTCATCTTCACAATATATGACAGGAAAGAGTTTATGGCTGGCTCCTTTAAGTCTGGAATGCCATCCTAGCTGAACATATAACAACACATAGAGTACTGAAAACAAAGATAAAACATGTCCTTCAGTTCACACGTGCAGTGTCTCACAGGTCCCTGTGATCTGTAGTCTGTTCTGAAAGCTTAAAATCCATTGAATAACATATGTTGGTTAATATATTGATTAGAACACAGTTTAAAACATACTTAATAATGTAATTTTCATGACACCAACTATTTAAAGAAGGTCTTGATGGTGGGTTTCAGCCGCTACTAATTCAGACTGGACTTCACTAGATGTCAGCAGCACATACGCACGACTTAAGTGTTTGATCTATTCAGTCCACACTGACTCCAACCTCTGTGCAGCGTCTCTCGTCAGAAGGCTGTCTATCAGCAGGAGGACAGCACGGTATTTACCAGGCCGGCTGATAGCAAAAATGTACCCGAAAGAAACAGTCTTCATGTCGGCTCATCAGCAAGGAATCAGCAGCGTTTTTATTGTTTTATTAATTTCCCCATCTTGAATAGGGGAAGTAAAACCAGAAAGCTCAGTGAAACCAGGAGCCTGATCCATAGGAAATGATTCAAGTAAAAAGTTTCCAACACATAAACAGGTCAACAGGTGATCGACCTGATCAAGCAGCTGTCCGGGGTGATTCCACTCTTGACAGATCTGCAGATAAATGTTGCAATGACAGTATCATGGAGCATTTTACGTCTGTCCATTTCTACAGGGAGAACATCATTTGTGCATAACCTGTTTATTTTGCATTTGCACCCAGTGCGACTTTTGAAAGAAATCAGTCCACCTTAAATAAATTTAGTCACAAAATGCAGCTGGTCATTTGCAGTATGGAGCCCTGTATGGAGAAATAAAATTGTTTCTTCAATTCCTAGAGCTTTGACTCCACAGCCAAAAGCGAGTTGAGTCATCCAGTCAAGTGTGAATGACTCAAATAAACATGAAGGAAATAACTGAACAATACTACAACAAGCAGCCAGAGTGTAAACCAAGCGTGGGTTTTGACCCAGAGAAGGAGAAGACAATGAAATGAAAAGAGAAAAGGGCTTTTGAGTGGGTCCACAGTGATGTCACTGTTCACAGCCAGTCCGTCAGAGAGTGCGTTCACTTTGACACCAAATGGCACACACTGTTGACAAATGTGTGGGGGCGAGCCTGTGTGAGGGAAAGGAAGTGTGACTGTGTGACGTCTGATCCAGAAGTGACACAACACCACACATGAAGTGTACAAACAGAGGAGGTCTTTGTACTGTATAAGATCGCCAAAGCAAGTTGTACAAGGTTTACAGTGTAGCTGTAAAATAAAAAAAAAAAAAAAAATCAGAAAAACACAGTAAATGGTTCTCAGAGGTACTTTAAACACTATACAACTCTGTACAATATGGCACGTAAGAAAAACTGATCCTTGGTAACAAATCATTAAAAGATCATGGAATATGCAGGATAAGGTGCTCTTTACAGGAAGAAACCTCCGACAGACCCCAGCTCTTGGTTTGAGATTATCACAACTGTCTTGACTTTAAATTTTTTATTGATAAAACATGACAGTGTTGTGAATTCCTTTAACACTATATTTATGTATTATATAAATGTAAAATTCTTAAATATATAGCACAATAGAAAGTGATTTGTACACAGCTAGGAGCCAGAGTGCAACCACAGCCTCAGGGTTCTGTTCCAGTAGGAACAAAACTGCATTCAAAATTGATATTTGTAACACAAATAATTATAAAGCAGAGCAAAATAATGTAGCTGGCTATTAAATATGCTAACCTACTGTAAAGCTTCGGACGTGCTAGGTTAGCGCTGTAGACAGAACTGCTTCTGAAACACAAAATAATCAGGCTTTGCTAGATCTGGGCTGCTGAAAATGAAACCTAAAATTTAGGGGTATAATGATACCAAAAACTTATGGTGTGATGTGTTAAATAAAGAAAAAAGATGAATCAGATAAACCAGTTTGGTTATTTGTACTTTTATGAGATAATACAATATTGCAGCAGCTGGAAACAGTTGGTAACAGTTTGGTTATAGTTTCAGTCAATTTTTGCATATTTATATTAAACTGAGATGATATGTTGATTTTTTTTTTGCATGGAAATTTTATTTATGTTGGCATAAAACCAATGGCTAAATATCTTAAAAACCAAAGCCATTCATCTCTTTTAGGTAATATTTGAATTTAGCTCCTCAAAATCCATAGAGATTAGCACATTTCAAATCAAAAAACTCTGTAGAGTAGCGTAATAAGTTATTTAGCCATGCATACCAATCTTAGATCTGATAAACTCTGTTTAGTCTGTTTCTAACACCTTTTGTGGGTTTGTAATGGTTAAAAACATTATCCTCTACACTTGTTTATTTAATTAAAACCCTAAGTACAGTGTTCTGATGTGCAGTAATGCAACGCTATGCTTAATTATGGTAGCTAATCCCGACTGATGAGTCATTGTTTAACGAAGGCTAAATCGTAATGTGGACCTAGAGAAAGGAGTGATTTTCGTCAGCTGCAGTGGACGATAACAGTTTTCTTCCATGGCGGGTGAGAGCCAACAGGGAGATGTTCAGAGCTGATTAAATGAACTGAAAAGCTCAAAAGCTCAGGGCAGAAACTGACAACGTGTCAACATGTCCCCTTCCATCCTCCCTCGTCCCTGTGTTACCATGGCAACTCAAAGTCAGGAGGCATTTAAATGAAATAGATATACTGTAAGCAGACAGCACCCACGCACGCGTGCTTCCACCAACACAAATACAAAAACGATACAGAGCTGATGTTCAGTGCTGCTCGTGTTCCTGTATTCTCTGATGGATTGCTGCTCTCCTGGTAGTTCAGAGAGAACAGGTGAGGATTCAGGTGGCTGCTCACTCATTTCATGATTAGACTTTCAGTTCTTTCATGGAGCAAAGATGCAGAAAAGGTGATGCAGCCTCTCAGCAATAAGTAACATGAGCTGGAGGTCAGCCGGCAGAGAGGAGTCCCTGATAATTCAGTCATTCATGAGTCATGACAGAAGTCCTCAGATACTGCTCAACAAAAAGCCGGAACTGCACATGTACTATAATGTTTGGGGAAAACATCAGCGGCGTACGTGCACAGAAGATAGACCGTTGATTTGAAACCAGACTGAAATAAAAATTATTTTCCCTTCTTTTTAAAAGTGTAATTCACACTTTCACACATCTCACGGTTGATGCAGAGGGACCCTGAGTCATGCTGCTTCTCTGTCCCATCAGCTAATTACAGTTAAATCACCCACTGTGAGGCTGGCCCTGGGTGGATGGGAACATGTAACCCAGCAGGAAACCTCGTTACAACTTAAAATGTACCACTGCAACGCCACAATGGTGCATGGCCATTATTTCCCAAGGATAACATGTCCTTGAACCAGCTGTGCAGAGATCAGTGCGTTTTGTGGAGCAGTACGGACGTCACAGGCGCTAAGTCACGTGTGTCAATCATGAGTATTGACTGTATGTAAGAGGTAAAGTGGCTGCTGAATGATGCTGCCTGCTTGTTGTTGATTTCTAGCACCTGGGCCTTTATTTTTCAAGCATCTCAGCAAGAATTCAGTCCTGAGTGATGCGTATTTGGTTCTTTTAAAACCAGCAGCAAAAGAAAGTGATCAACTTTATCAACACAGGAAACGGCTTCCATTGCTGCAGCTCCAGCGGAGTCCTAACCTGTTAAGCTGGAGGATGTTGTACAGATTCAGCTTGATTTTTAGCCCCAGTTTGTTGATAGTCTGATGGTGACATAATGCCTGATTCAACACCAGATTAATGATCTACCTGTTGGATTTATAGCAAAATGTTTGGTTTTGGACAGTTGGACAGTCTGATTTCTCATACCACTGCTGTAAAAAGAGCCATTATAAACAGTAGTGCGCTCGTTTTAACATTACTGGTATAATATTTTAAAAGAAGTGGCTTAAACTGGAGCCTTGAAACTGAATGACACTGCAGAACAGATACTTTTGTCTGCAGCCCTATGCTTTGCTTTTCTTCTTCTGTGCTTTTCTTTGGCTTTTCTTTGTGCTGTGTTTCACACAGTGTTTGTTTGCATTGTTTATACTGTTTATTTTGCTATACTACACAACCTTATGTTGGTTTGTTTACTTGCCCCTTGCTGTTGCCTTGCATGGGGACATGTACATGCACATTGAGAGCCGCTGTACCAGAGTCAAATTCCTTGTGTCCAACACACCTGCCCAATAAGGCTGATTCTGATTCTTGTTTCTGTTCATTATAGATCAGCACACATTAATGCTGCCTCTTTTTGTCCACACTGCTGGGGAAGCAGCCAGCCTTGTTTCAGCTGAACTGGAGCTATCACTGGACAGAACCTCAGTGCTTACATTTAGTGTATGCACACAGTTTAAGTCACAGGTTTGTCCATGAAGAAAGGCAGATTAAAAGTTGTGGTATGAGAGTAACATAACACATAAGACCTGAACAAATAAAAGAACCTCTGTGGCTAGATACTATAACATTTTTTTAAATTGGGTGAACTGACCCTTTAAAATATTGTCCCCCTGTCACTCTGATGAACGTGTACACAAATGGCATGGCAGCCATTTGTACATTCAGAGGTATTTCATTTAATAGCTTGAAATCAGAGGCCATATTCTTTGCGGAAACAGGTGACTTCAACAGTACCGGCTGAGGCATTTCACTGCAGGGAAGAACAGACCAGCTTCAGTCTTTGTTTCACACAGGATCTGATCCAAAAGCTTCAGTTACTCTTGCTGTCACTTCAGTGTGAGTTGAGTTGCATGACTGGCCCAGGGTGCAGCCGGAGAATTATTGTGTCTGGAGCAAGTAAAAGTAAAGTTAAGCTTCTGAAAACTGAGATTTGTAGTCTTGATCAGATATTGAACGATTGCAATTCCAAATGTGGAGGCAAGGTGCTTGTACCAATGGTAAAAACAAAATGACTTTTGTTTGATGGTTATGCTAAGTGTTGTTTGTATTTCATTAGTTTACATGGTGTGTGCTGTAAAATAGGGGTGTAAAGGTACACGTATTCAGACAGTTGTTTCGGTACAGGACTTCTGGTACAGTGCAGATGTGGACTGAATGCAGTCTTTAATAGTAGTTAACACATGGCCAGTGCTGTTCAATGAATCTGGGTGACAGGAGGCGTTGACAGCACCTCTCCACATTAGGACACGTTCTAGAGCAGATTTCTACAGATGTCTTCTTGAAAAAAGTTTCATACTGTATATTTAAGGTCTCCTGTTTGGGAACACTTCGGCTTCTTGGGGAAATACAGCGTCGGACAAAGACAGGTGGATAAGGCGTCTTACTTGTTCACTGCATGTTGGTCCTCCAGTTAATGTTTGTTCAGTGGTGTTCAGGTGTGTTTTTAGCAACATGTCCAACATGATAACCAGTTTGAAACAGTATAAATGCTGCTTCCTTCAACATTTAAACAGCCTTTCCCTGGCTAGTGGAGCACTTAGTAGTAGTAGTTTGCAACAGTATTCTATTTTATTTTGATGCTTCATTTAAAATTTAATTAAAAAAATTATAAACTGTTGTTTACAAAACTTTGTAATAATGTACAAGCAATTATATGATATGTATCGTTTCCCTGACTGTACTGAAAATGAACTGGACCATGACTTCACAACCGAGGTAAGTGCTGTGGTTTTTGTCTACATTACACCCCTACTGTATAATTTGTTGACGCGTTCTGTGTACACCCTGTGTCTGTGTTGTCATGAAGAGAGGTAAAGGCACTTTTTTTGACCCCAGTCCAACACTGCAATATTAACATAATAGTAAGTTGTTAACTGTAGACCAAAAAGGTGGCCAGTCCCCCCCCCAAAAAACTTACTTCAGTCCATAAAATGAAGGACTAAAAGACACAAGCATGTTCCTACAAGCAGCTTGGAAGGGGAGTGTGAAAGTGATTCATTTAACTCTCAAAGCATCTGTAAAATGTGACCACACAACATGATGTTTAGCCTCATCCATGAACTGACAAGAGTAACTGAAGCTGCTCTGACATGAGTCGATTGTCTCCATAAATCATAAGAAAAAATAATAGTTATAAAAATATCTGCAGATGTAGACGTCATGGCTCAGACATCTCTATTTCAAAATTAGAATGTCCAAGCAAACAAACAATGGAATTAAATAGAATAAAAATAGAGCTAAAAAGCAGCAGGTTGTTCACAGCAGAATGGAGGGCAGAAGGAGCAAAGTGGTCACAGTTCGTGGGCTAAAAGTCACTGGTTTGATTCCCTGGACAGAGGTTGAGGAATGCTCAGTCCTCCCGTAGTGACCACCATCACAGTGCCCTGGAGCAAGGCACTTTGTTCCGGCGGAGCTGCTCAGCGGCCAGCTACAGTTCCCAGTTCAATAACAATGGAATGTGTAAGCAAAGCCTTCTGCGCACCAACAAAAAAACAAACAAACAACAAACAGACATCTACGTCTCTTGGTTGGGAACACGTCAACAGCTCTTTAAATAACAGTAAACAAGACTATGGTGAAAATATACAGACACTGAGAGATAGAACTATCTTAAAAATACAAATGTGCAAAAGTTGTAAACAAATGAGATTCCGTGTGTGTGTGTGTGTGCGTGTATGTGTGTGTCACAGCCTGGTAGGCTCCTCGTCGCTGTCACTGCAGTTACCACAGCAGTCCTGCAGAGAGAGGCACAAAGTTTCTCTGTCAAATCTATTCTGAGGCAGGTGCAAATCGAGCGGTAGACACATCTCCAGACAGCATCATCGGTGCATCAAAATCAGGGAAGGTTTGATTTGATTTATTTATTCTTTCAAGCATGTAAAGACAGTTGATATATCAACACACATAATTTTACACATTTCCAACAAATGCTAATCCAATATCAATTTGCTTATACCTAGTACATGCTTGAATGGAGTAGGAAGAAGTCAGACTTATCCAGTCCTACCCCATGACATCATCTTACCATCATTGGTTTGCAAGCAGTATCTCTACAAAATAATTCTCTTCTACACCACACAAGTAATATACTAAAAAATACTGTTTTTTATGTCCACACTTAAATTATTCCATAGTTTTACCCCACTTATGGAAATACAAAATCTTTTTTTGGTTGGACGTATAGCATGAATTTTTAAATTTAATTGACCCCTTAAATTGTATCCCCCTTCCCTTTCATTAAATAGTTTTTGAATTCCACCAGGTAATAAATTGTTCCTGGCTTTATACATAAACACAGCAGTCTTATATCCCACTAAATCAAAAAATTTTAACAATTTAGACTGTATGAAAGCTCCATTGGTGTGATCCCTGTACCCCATCTTATGCACAACTCTTATCGCTCTTTTTTGTAATATATATAATGGTTGAAGTGAGCTTTTGTATGTGTTTCCCCAGTTTTCAACACCATACTCTAAGTATGGTAAAATCAATGAAGAATACAAAATGCGTAGTGCTTTCCTGTCCAAAATATATCTAACCTTTGCCAATATCAATATGTTCTTTGCTATTTTGTTCTGAACATATCTGATATAAGATTTCCAGAAGAATTTGTCATCAACTATGACACCTAGAAATTTAATTTCATATACTTGTTCTATATTAGCTCCCCCAATTTTTAATTGAAGTTCATTATCTAGTCTACAATTCCCAAATACCAAGGTTCACACTGCAACTGTGTGTTTAAGGCTGCTGAATGCATAATGCTAAGGCTCTGTGCTTGACGTGTGTTTAAAGTTTCAGTTTGGAAATAAGTGATCGCTGATACAGGAGCAGCCTGATCCTTTGGATGGAAAACATTATTGAAAATATTGTGATTCTCATCTTTGTTGTTTTTTTAGGGTTAAGTTCCTTTTTAAGCTTGGCACTCTTATAGCAAACATCTTGATGAAGCCAGATGCTGGAAAGTAAAAAACATGACCGACCTGTTTGCCGAACAGCCGCTGCAGCAGTCCCTGTTTGGGTGGAGGCGATGGCTGTCCTCTCCAGTCCAGGTCAGGAGGAACTGTCCCATCCTGGTAGAAAACATTCAGCTCTGTGAAACACTCGGTCTCGATCATCTGCAAGAGAAAAGACAAGACTCTTTGAATCACATATACGGTTTGGCTGTTTGACATGCAGAGGGTTAAAAGCAGCCAGAGGACTCAGGCTGGATTCAGATGTAATGTTCTTCCATCTGGATGTGTTAGCATCTAATGCTAACCAGTTTTTTTTGGTAGCATTAGCCACCTAGCATGGTCAGCACTTTACCTTTGTGCTGAATGAACATGATTTTAATTTTGGAGTAACTGGAACTTTGTCACATCAGCAGTAACCAGAGCGTTCTACTGGACTGACACATTTACTGTTAGCCAGCTAACGCTAGCTTCAGACTACAGGCTGCATTTTGTACAGTTTGTCCCAACCAGGCATCCATAGTTTATGTTGTTGCTAGGAAACAGGATATGATGGGAGGGGCTAAGAGGAGCGGCTGATGGCGTCAGTTTGTTCTGAGTCTCAGTAGAGGAGGTTTAAGTTCCCAAGACAAAAATGCATTTGTTGTTTAGTGTTTTGCTCTTGATAGAATATATATATATATAATAAACAGAACAGGGCTGGAGTAGCTAAACAAAATTTTAATTGCTTGGCAAATGTGTGTGTTTTGTGCTTCATGGATTTTAGTGTGAGCAGTGACAGTAGTAATGGACTGAGTGGATGAAAGCACTTCCCATCACTGGTGTTCAGTTCACCGTGTGCACACTATGTGTTTGTGTGTCTCTGACCTCATTCTGCCAGGGAATAGGAACGCTGCCCGTGGACACTTTGCCGTAGAAAGACTCGTCTTTGGGCTCCAGCTCCACACCTTTCACTGTGGAGAACTGCTCGATGTCCAGCACATCTTTACAGTAGATGGCCTGTGGCTGCAAAACACAAGCACACAAACCACTACCTTAACACAGCTACAGTACATTTGAACTGCTCACCCAGCAGCAGCCGCCATCACTTTACCAAAGTTTCGAGGCCGAAAAACAGTCTGCAGACGTCTGCTGTAAATGGCTGTGAACAAGCCAACACCCTCTGTTCCTGTATCAGTATAAAACCTGCTGTAATACAACAGTGCTCACTGCAGGAAATCCTTCCTGTTACAGAGACTGTGCAGATGAATTATGCATGCTCCATATAATTAGCCTCCGTGACATTCTTATTAATCACATTAATTAATTCCAGTCGTCATGCTGTGGAAATGTTGAATTTCCAGTTTTCTATTTAAAGGAATGCATTGACATTTTGTAATATATGATTGTTTGCTTTCTCACCGGAAGTCAGAGACGAGATTTAGATATGCCATCAATGTTATTAGTCACACCTATAGTATATCATCACTGATGAGATTTGGTACACCTGCACCATCAATAACGTGATTAGTGCTCTTTGTTCTTTTCTCTATGCTCAGTGCTACAAGGGAGTTTCTTTACTAAAAGAGCATCACATTTGATGTTTTTGTGTTGCTCCAATGCAAACAAAAGAAATAAACATAAGAATACCAAAGACTTTGTGATTGCGACAACTCTCTGGGAGAAATCGTGGTTATCTGACAGAAATGGGTTCCAGTAATTTTGGCCATGACTGTAGATGTGTAAGACTTTCTTCTGTGGACTTACATCGGGGATGAAGGGCGCCTGCAGCATCCCGGCCTCCAGGCGTTTAAAGTTAATGGATCGAAAGATGGGATGGGCTTTGACCTCGGAGGCTCCAGCCCCCTGGCAGCCCAGCCTCTCTGCAGGATCCTTGGCCAGCAGCTGGAGGGTTAAAGGAACACTAACACTTTCAAACCACAGATTCCTTTGATTCTTGTTCAGAAATGCTGTATTTGATCACCTTTATGTGTATAGCAAAACAAAGTTTCTGCTTACAAAAAACACCAAAAACAGGCAAAAACAAAGTAATGAGCAGTGTTTGGGCATTTTCCCATAGAGAATCATCAGAAAAGGAGCAGCTGTAAAACGTTGAATACATTTTTCTCAGGCAGGGTAGCATTAAAAAATTCTGGAAAGGGAAGCACAAACACCTTGTTCCAAGTCAGGGAATGATATTCTAGTGTGATATGAGGGAAGTGATGCAGGTGTACAGAGGGAAACCATATCAAAACAAGGAATAGTTCTGGAAGCTTGACATACAATATTAGAATGTGGTAGAAGCAGATGAAAGGTTTAGACAAGCGGAAATAAAAGACAAGTGGATTTGGCCGCTTGAACATCCACCCACCATTTTGCAAAGAGACTTTGCGTCCTCTGAGAACTTGCTGGAATATTCCTCTTCCACCTGCGTCACAAGCCGCTCCACCTCCTCCCTCTTGATCTTCTTCTTCCTCTGCTGGAAAGGAGACTGGCCTTCGATCATCTCGTACAACAGGCAGCCCAGCGTCCACCAGTCAGGGCTGAAGGTGTAGCGCTCATTTTTCACCACCTCTGGAGCTGGAGGAGACGAGGGAAGCAGCAGAGCGAGCCTTTGATTGAACTGGTGGTGATTTAAATCACAAACTAAAGGTAGAGCGGCTGGGTTTGCTCGATGCGAAGATCAGGGGCTACTCACCCATGTATCCTACCGTTCCCACCCGTCCCTTGATGGTCTGTCCCTCTGGCACATGAACTGCTAGACCCAGATCTGATATCCTGATGTGGCCTTAAGACACAGACACAGACACACACACACACACACACACCTCAATAAATCGGAAGAAAATCCAAGGAATTCAGATTTTTCCATTATCGGCCGACAGATGTTGAAATAGCCAGAGAACTTGTAGATGCACAGTTGAAGCTTCAGATGCAATCCAGAGCCTCTGAAACCATTCCCATCATATTTGTTTTGATCCATTGTTTACAAGCAACCAGCAAATGCAGCCACGTTGTGTGAAGATTATTAGTCACACTAATCTGTCTCGATGCATTGAGCAGCCACACTGTTCTGTTGGTTAAAACTAAGCAGTTTTGTGTTTGTTGCAGTTCTGATTTGTATCCTGGACATATGGAGTACATTCCTATTTCATAATACCTAACCGACAGCCACATGTTGAATTTGTCTTGATTCTGCTGCTCTGTACCTTCCCATCAGCTAAAATCAGGTGTTTTGCCTTCACCTCATATCTAAACCTTTCTATCAGCTGCTTTTCAACAAAGACATATCTGTGGTTTTCACTTTGTGCCATTGCACACGCTTCAAAATAATTACATTCTTACATGTTTCTATGATTTTCCGTCTTTAATTAGATTTTGTGTGTAATTAAACTTTTCAGCTGAGACTTGTGCCAGAGGTGAGCATCCTGCTTCAGATCAGACTGTTCTGCTGGAGTCACAGCGCCCTCTGGTGACTCACAGTAGGAAGTGGTCTCATACCAGCACCTGAAGCGACCTCAGTTCCTTATTCAGTCCAAAAACAGTATCACAGGATGAATGATTGTAAGTGTTTCTGGAATATTTCCTTTTTGGTCAAGATGCCTTCCAAATGGATACTGTATGAAATGTGTTTGAAAAGGATGTTACAAGCTAAAAGTCCAGTGTATGGGGCGTGCCACTGTTTTTCCATGACTAATTATGACTTAATTAATGAAGCGCTAAATAAAATTTTATTTGAACATGCACAGTGCAACTGCTCATTTGATTCCTGCTTTAAAATTTCTGTGCATGTTTAGTGATTGCTGTGAATCAGGTGTTTCAAAGTCACTGTGGCTTCTTCAGGTAAAATCCAGATACCTTTTAGCCTATCTTTATCTACATCTGTGGGAAATAGACACCATTAAAAGCAGAATTAGAGAACACAGACTTAGAGAGAGACTCTTTATCAACTGCAAACCCTTCTATTCTCCTCGTGAATTTCCTGGTTGGTGTCTATTTAAAACCACAGGCCCACGCTAGCACACTACAGCTCCTAGAGTGGAGTTAGAACATCCTGACTCTCCACTCATTGTTCTAGAGGACTTTAACAGAGCAAATCTCTCCCACGAACTACCCAAATACAGACAGCACGTTACCTGCCCCACTAGGGACCAAATCACACTGGACCACTGTTACACAACAATAAAAGACGCCTATCGCTCTGTCCCCCGCGCAGCCCTCAGACTCTCTGATCACTGTATGGTCCATCTTATTCCAAACTGAAAAGCATCACTGGCTATACGATACCATCTCCCCCTGCTGTGGAGGACCATCAACTAGCAGACGACCTGAATGTGTTCTACTGTAGAAAAGGTCATTAGTGTGAGCCTGCACTCCATGGAGGACCTGTGCACCTCATGGGTCAAAAGGAGGGCGGAGAGGATCACTGCAGACCCCTCACACCCGGGACACAATCTGTTCGAACTCCTCCCCTCTGGATGGCGTTACAGGTCACAGTGCGGCAAGACAACCAGTTTCTCCCCCCAGGCCATCGCTCTGATGAACACTTGACCCACGACAGTATGAATGGACAATAACCCTCAGTGCAATACCTGTAAATATACATTGTACAGATTGTACAGATTGTACAGATCCGTACAGGTCTCTAGTTTTAAGTACTCTATTTTTATTCCTATTCATCTCATTTCACAATGAGCATTCCTTTGTCTGTCTGCATTGTTTACTGCCTGTTTATACTGCTTATTTTGCATTGTTTGTTGCTTGTTAATACTGCTTATTTGGTTATACAAGCCTTATGTTGGTTTACTGTTTACCTGCCCCTTGCATGGGGATATGTACATACACATTGAGAGCCGATGTACCAGATTCAAATTCCTTGTGTGTCCGACACACCTGGCCAATAAAGCAGATTTTGAGATTCTGAATTAAATAATAGCAGTTCCTGTTTCCAGTCTGCCTATAAATGTGCAGACAAGTGTCAATGGATCACGCAGACCCTGAAGAAAACTTAAAAATGCAGTGATTCTCAGGCAAGTTCTGGAGTCGTGTACAATTATTCTCAATACATCACAGATAATGAGATCCCTGGTCAGCGTAAGCCATGCTTAATCTTAGATTATTTGTATCATATCTGTGTGTTTGTATTTGATTGACTTGTGACTGATTTTGGCACAAATTGTGGTGTTGAAGGTTTTAAAGTGCTGTAACTGACATCTGCGTGTGACAGCTGCTGCTGCTATAACTGCTGAATGTGTTAGTCTTACATGAGCCCACAACCTGCAAAGAGCTAGCACCAGTCACCTGATTTCATGTTATAGAGAAATAATTAGGATCTGAATTCTAAGTTTTCAGCTGTAATAGGTGGCTTTTGCAGGAAAGTTGACTTGTCTTAATGCTGCCGCTCACCATGATCATCCAGCAGGATGTTCTCTGGTTTGAGGTCCCTGTGTGACAGAGAAAGAGAAAGACTGAGAGAGAGAGGACAAATGAGACTAGGAGAACGTGCTGATCTTCAGACACTGACCTGTAGACGATGCGTTCTCTGTGCAGGTCCTCCAGGCCGCAGCAGATCTCTGCTGAGTAGAAAAGAGCTCTCGTCTCGTCAAAACCTGCCTCGCCCATGTGGTAGATGTGAAACTTCAGGTCTCCTCCGTTCATGAGGGTCAACACAAGACACAGAGCGTCCTTTGTCTCGTAGGCGTATGCTAAACTCACCTGGGGACAGGAGTGTCATGTTAATGAGGAAACTGTGTGGTCATGTTTTACAGTATGCTTCAGGTCTTCAGTTTAACACAGTGATGGATAGAAACACAGCTTTAGGGTTAGGACTGTGGGTCGGACACACCGAGACATCTGAAGATGTCACTTGAGCTTTGGGAAAAAGAGGTGTTAAGCTTTTACAGGTTTGTGATTTTATTGATTTGACAACTGATATATTGTAAAAACAATCAACAGTTTATATAAAGAGTGCAGCTAAAATTCTAATTTTTTTTTTTTATTTAGCACCATGGCCCTCCGTGCACAGTGTGTCTGTGTCCCCGTGATGAGCCTCAGCCCCGGTGCTCCCTCTCTGTTAGCTCTGTTTGGTCTCCACCTCCTCCTGAGGGAAACATCTCGCTATGGAGCTGTAGATCAGGTGAGATGCTTACTACAAATCTGCTGTTGACTTTCTCTAGGATTTGCTTCTCATTGAGTGCCATGGACTCTCCTTTCCTCTTCTTTATCCTCTTTTTCTCCAACTTCTTGCAGGCATACATCTTCCCTGTGGCTCGTACCTGACATGCGCACACCTGCAGGGCAGAGCAGGAGTGGGGACACAAGAGTTCGCATTAGTATACCTTAAAAACTGCACATATAAACAACATAACACATTCTGTTAATAAAACAAGGCTTGACTGACATCGCCATCCAGTCTGTGACTTCACGTTCCTGAGAGCATCAGGACCTGACCCTAACCAACAACATGACGTATCATCCTTCACATTCGTCATTATCTCGTGACCTGATTCTTGTCCATTTAATCATTTCTCACCATAAGATCTGAGTGGAATCAAAAGACTTGTTTTCACACAGATATGTAACACAGATGCCATTCAGTGGTGGGTAACAGGATTCAGTACTGTAGATGAGGATCCTCACTTCGAAACTTGAAGAGAGACAATGCAACTCTTTGCACAATTGCAGCTTTTTCAGCCTTTAGGCACTGATTTACTTTGACCACAGGGAAGCAGTTTTTATTTCTTTGAGCCAGAAGAAATACAAACTGTCAGCCTAAATCAATGCCAAACTGCTGTATACTTCAGGGTCTGATCTCCTGACACTCACCTTATTAACATTGTTTTGTAAATAAACTTTTCTTTCTGTCTCTCAATACTCTGCTCAGCTGAAATGTTATTTGTCCAGCTGTATTTACAGATTACACACACTGAAAGTGGTGGCTGTTGCCTGAGTGAAACAGCTGAAGTGTAGTGTTTTTTGTGTTTTGCAGCCACAGGCCATCTACTGTAAAGATGTGCTGGGCATCGAACAGTTCTCCTCAGTGAAAGGTGTGGAGCTGGAGCCCAAAGTGTTCCCGGGCGGCGTTCCTATTCCCTGGCAGAATGAGGTCAGAGATAACACACAGACACGTGTGCAAAAAGAACTATCTGTGAACTGAGAAGCAGTGATGGGAAGATGCTTTCATCCACTCAGTCCATTACTGCTGGCACTAAAATCCATTAACACGAAACACACACGTTTGCCAAGCAATACATATTTAGATTATGTTTTGTTTAGCTGGTCCAGCCCTGATCTGTTTATTGTCAATATTCCGTTATGAGCATAATACAAACTCATTTAGCCACTCTAACTAATGTCTTTTCAAGCCTCAAGGGTCTATGGAGACTCAAAACAAACACCATAAGCTACTTCTAAAACCATGACCATGCTAGGTGGCTAATGCTACCAAAACAAACAGGCTAGCTTTAGATGCTAACACATCCAGAAAATGACATCTGCTTCACATCACAAGCAAATATTTTAAACTGAATAAACAAACTACACCTGCAGGCCTGCATTTCCACCATGACTGTAACATGCTGAAAAACTAACTGACCTTATCTCCAATAAGTCCTAAAACAAATCAAGATCTGATCTGAGGTCTTAATTGAACCAAGAATCCAGATCTTTTTATTCTTTATTCCAGATTATAGTTGATGATAATTCAAGTGATGAGACAAAGATGTTACTTTTCATCAGAAAAAATGTTTGTTGCAATGAAAAAGTATTAAAATAAAATGTACTCACCTCACCAAAACCTCCTTTCCCTAAAACTCTGTACTGTCGGAATGTATTTTTCGTCACCGGTTGCCTGTTGGACAGAGAGAGAGAGGTTTACAACCCTCGGCAAGGCATCTACAATAAAAACAAGCTGTTAATTCAGTTCCACTGCCCCAGGCCATCATCCTGCCATCTGTTGGGATGAGAGGATGTAATTAACTTCTAGGTGGTGATTTGATGGCAATCTATTATTCTCTTTATTTCATGCAATGCTGCCGTGACAAAGATGCTTTAATTTCTGAAAACACACATGCAGATGTGGACAAAACGACTGCTGATGAGGTTGAAAATCTAACTAAAAACATATGGGTGTTTCTGAAAAAAAGACAACTTTGCTTTAAGATAAATCTAAATGCTCACTGAGTGTACAAATAAAATAGAAGTACACACTGTGTGTCAGCGGTGCAGAAATCTCAGAAACAGTCCGTGTCCACACAGAGTGGATGGATTCATCAGGACCACAGACAGCTGGTAATGAACTCTAGCACCATTGAGCTGCTCCCTCCTGGTATCAGCGCTCGTGTCTCGTGTCCCTCAGGACACTGTGCTTATTCAAGCAGGTAAATTAAATGGACCCTGGGACAGAGACTCATTTCAACAGGATGAGTCATTTACTGCTCAACAAGCCCTGTGGCTGTGCTTCTGTGGCTTGTTGTTAAACACTATTGCATTTAGCACCTGTATTGACCTACAGAACCAGAATCGAGGGCGTTAATGGTGTAGCCTGTCACCACAAGTTGTACAGATCGGACAGTTTGGTGGAAATTAAAGGAGTAAATTAACTGGGCGGAACCTCAAAACATAATATTCACATGGCCTCAGTTGTACTTGTTAGACAAGATTATCAGCTAAGTATAATATGGTATCGCAAATGCAAGTTTCAGGACTTTGCACTGCACAATCAGCGGTATCATTGTAATGAAGTATTACTGTTATTAGTTACACCTGTGATTTTTCATGTCAGAACCAAAATTGTCAAATGTTAAATGAAAAATACTTATCAAAAATATGACTTAAATCTGGAAAAATGTAAGTAAAACAGACCACGTATCTGACAAGCTGAAGTAGGACAGGAAGCAAACACAAGTGTAACTTATTTATCTTTTGTCTGGATTTCCAGCACCTCCTAGTAATTTGTTTTTATTGTTTTATATTTTATGTTTTTGGAAGTCGGTTTAGCACTCTAGTATTTTTTCTGTTATCGTTTTGCTCTGCTTATTGGGTTTTGACTGTACAGCACTCTGGTGCTCTTGCGAGTTGTAGAGCGCTATATAAATAAAGTTTATAATTAGTAGTAGTATAAACCTGGGTGTTGACTTTTAGCTCCTGTGCTGCCCTGCTCTGGCCTCCAGAGATGTCTTCTGCTGGCTGCACCCTGACATGATCACAGGTGTTACCCAGCCCACTAAATATATGGTATTTGGGAACCGTAGACCACATAATGAACTTCAATTGAGAATTGGGGGTGCCAACATTGAACGAGTATATGAAATTAAATTTCTGGGGGTAATGGTTGATGACAGATTATCCTGGAAATCTCATATTAGACATGTTCAGCATAAAATAGCTAAAAATATATCGATATTGGCAAGGGTTAGACATATGCTGGACGTCAAAGCATTGCGGATTTTGTATTGTTCATTGATTTTGCCATATTTGGAGTATGGCGTTGAAAACTGGGGAAATACATACAGGAGTTCACTTCAACCATTGTACATATTACAGAAGAGAGCGATAAGAGGTGTGCACAAGATGGGGTATAGGGATCACACAAATGCAGTTTTCATACAGTCCAAATTGTTAAAATTCTTTGATTTAGTGGAATATAAGACTGCTGTGTTTATGTATAAGGCCAGGAACAATTTATTACCTGGTGGAATCCAAAAGTTATTTGGTGAAAGGGAAGGGGGATATAACTTAAGGGGACATTTAAATTTAAAAGTTCATGCTATACGAACAACCAAAAAAAGATTTTGTATTTCTATAAGTGGGGTCAAACTATGGAATAACTTAACTGTGGACATGAAAAATAGTACCAGAATTAAGGAGTTTAAATATAAATATAAATGTATGTGTTATACAAGATATATGACAGAATAAGAAACAATCTGTTTTATCTATGTAGTGATATTGCTTGCAGCCAATGTTGCATAAATTTTGTATAATATGATGTCATGGGGTAGGACTGGATAAGTTTGACTTCTTCCTACTCCATTCAAACATGTAATAGGTGTAAGCAAACTGATTTTGAATTAGCATTGGTTGGATATGTGTAATCATGTGTGTTATTGTCATTTGTTCATTGTTCTGTTCTGTTCTGCATGTTTGAAAGAATAAATCAATCAATCAATCAATCAATCAATCAATCTCTTCAATCAGCACATTAGTCTGGAGGGTGTATACTGTTAAGTCCCTTTATTCGGGCAGCCCTGGCCTGAGTGTACAGCCTGTGCTAGTCTGATTCAGTTTGCTGTTTTTAGCTGCTGGTTTGCGAGAAGCTTTAGTAGTAACCTATCTTTGTGTCCTGCCTGCTTAGTGCACGTGGGTCTTCAGTTTCTCTCTCCTCACATCTTATGTTGGCGGGACTAAGATGCAAGTGAGGAAAATGTGGATACAATTAAGAGACTCGGGACTCACATAATTCATAGTTCTGCAGAGGTTTTGAGAGGGGCCACTTCTTGGGTGGGCACAGTAACTTTTTGCAGTCTCCGCTGGCAGGTGCATTTTGTTAACTTTAGAACAAGGCTAGCTCTTTCCCCCTGTCTTTATGCTATGCTAAGATAACAGTATCCTGGTTTTTGCTTCATATTTAACAGACAGATATAAGAATGGTGTTGATCTTCTCATCTAACACTAAACAGGAAAGCAAATAGTGCTGCCCAAATTGAGCTGTTCCATTAGTGATTGACTGTTGTGTGAAGGCCACAGTCCAAAATGACCTACACCCTACTTTAGTCAGCGTGAGAAAGAGCCTAAAAGACGTGGTTTCAGTCCATGTGTGCGAGTTGCAGAGCCAGGATTCGCTTCCCACATGCTGAACAGCAGTTTAACCACTAAACACTCAGGAGATCCCATTTGTTTATGGCACCACAGTGGAGTCTGGGAACTGGAGGCACCCAGACAAACTTCCTCTGTCTGCAAACACACCTGATAAAACTTGTTGTGAGGATAGATTCACTTCTCCACCAACAAATGATGATAACACTGAATAATTTTAGCTGAAAGCCATCTTTAAAGGTGGAATTGAGGGAGTAGGAAAAATGTTTATGTGTGTATTTTTCCACCTTGCTGAATTTAGCTACAGAGATCAGAATGAAAAGAGTGAGATTCACAATCTGACTTGAGTGTGTGAACCTATGGAAAGATTCACAACAGCAGAACCTGGCCCCTATTTAGACTTTAAATCATTGCTATAACGCATTGTTTTTAAGGCACGTTGTGTTTTGTCTATACACAAGTGTCCACCGTTGTGAATGTCCCTCACTGTGACAATGAGACCTGATTAGACACCAGAATCACCCACTGTGCCTCCAGCATTACTACCCATACTTTAAAAAACTATCCCAGTAGAATCACTCTTATCTAACTGTCACAACAGCAGCGTGTTCAGAAGGTCGCCTCACTGCTGAAATCCAACTGTGAAACTTTGCACTTGCGCAACTTCAATCTCCTATATTGAAATATGGAAGGGTGAAATCATTCTGAAGTTCATAGATTGCATTGTCCTGACCCTTGTAACCCAGAAGACATGAGGACACAAGAGAGAGGAAGGAATGAGGCAACTCACAACACACATTGTTACTGGGACTGTGGAGGGGTTTAAGGCTAATGTATCTGCAAAGTGAGCTTTTAAATGGTATGTGTGGAAAAAGATGATGCTGGTGTGCAAAACAGACACAGCTGCAGAAAGAATAAAAGAAAGAATAAAAAGTTAAAAAGATGGAGACATCACACGTTACCTCTCCAGCCATTTCCACTGCAGGAACCTGTTATAGTGCATGCTGTCGAGGTAGTCTGCGAAGGGCGCCATGCTCAGGTAGTCGTGGATCAATCTGGAAAAATACAGCAAAGGGTTAATTTCCTATTACCGGTAATTAATAAACCCTGTCTTGATCATAGTTTGACAGCTGAAACAATTTGTCAATTGATTGTCTTTTGCAAGTAATTAGCAACAACTTTGATTAGTGAGTGATATTTTAATTGTACCTGATTATTGATTAAAACGATCAATAATCAAAATAGTTAACAGCGTGAGAGTGGTGGTGATAGCAGTAGTCTACAGTGTCTACAGCCCCCTGCCACTCAGGGTCAAGCTGAAACCTTGAATCTGAAGGCTGTGGTGCGAGTCACAGAGTGGACTGCCTCAAGTAAGGGAGCATATTTTCCCTTATGACTTCCATTAAACAACTGTTATTTCTTCTTTCACGTGTTACACTGTCACCCTTTAAAGCTACATTAAGAGTTTGCCCACAGTGTCTGTTAAACCCAGTGACAGTGGGCTAGAACATGGTGTCTCTCATCTACACCCTGCCTCCGTGACTCTGCTGCCTGCAGCCCGTCTGTTGTTATTCCAGCTTCTCCACCCTGTGTTGTCAAAGTACGGTCTGTAAATCAGCCCCACCTGCTACCTAGCCACGGTTAGAAGAAGGGTTTTTCCAGCTGCCACTAGTCATGTCCTCTGCATATACAAAGGATATACAGCAGGGGTCGGCAACGTCTGGCCCGCGGGCCAATTCTGGCCCACGAATTTTGAAACGTTATATTTATATAGCATGAGTTCGAGTCACACGAACAGTGTCCAATCCTTTTTTTATGTTATTTTATGACTATTAATTTGAGTTCAATTTGACACTTTCAAAGGTTCACTGTGAGTCGCTCTGTAACCCCTCCCCTCCTCTTCCGCACTGTGCTGCAGCTTGTGGTGACAGAACCGCCCTGTGTTGTGTCACTGCTGCACTCACATCCATGAAGCTGAGCATATAAATTAAATAAAGGACATATTCAGACACTTTCTTTATTATTATAACTTAATTATTATTATGCATTTGTTTTTATGAACAGTGACCACTGCTTCATCTGGAGGACTTTTGAAGCGGGATTCAATGTGATCCTAAAAGACACAGAACGGCCAATATGAGCACTAAAAAAAACGGATCGATAACTACATTTGAAAGACTCAGTGGGAAAACTGGTATTTCCCTTCTGTCGCCATTTTCTGTATGTCTGGTGTTAGAGATGTCATTTTAATGCGCAGGGCATTCTGCAAGTTTTTATGCGTCACTCGGTTTCTCTCCTGCGTCTTTATGGCATTCATTGACGAGAAAGTTGCCTCACAGGTGTAGGTGGAAGGAAACAGTAAGCACATAAAAAGCGAGCTTCTTGAGTGTGCTGTAATCCTCAGAGCACGTGAGCCAGAATGCGCACACAGACTCGCGCCTTGTAGTGCAGTGCTGACCAGGGAGGATGCTTGGAAATCAAATAACTCAATTTCAAACGTTGCCTCATCTACCGATGTGGAGCCAATTGTAACTACGCAAATAGCGACAACAACATTGCAGATGAAGGGGCGGGAATAATATTTCTTTATTTATGTAAGTATTTTATTAGTTTATTCATTTACTTTTACAAGTCAGCACAATGCTTATATTTATGTATATATATTACCCTTAAATTGCAAAATATATTGATATAATATTGTAGCCAGGGTCGCCACAATATATTGATGGCGCGCCATCTGATGACGTAGGAAAAAATGCCCAGAGGCCACGCCAACCCCTGATATACAGTATATACGGTAGTAATACTGTATGCACCAGTCACAAGGGTGGATGTAGTTAGAATGAGAAATGACACAAAGGGTTTTCCTGACATTTGTCCACAAAAATATGGAAGACTTATCAGATGTATCCTTCACCGGAGTTTAGGGTTAATACTGAACACAGCAGCAGCAGCAGTAGTAAATTGCTCATGTCTTGTACTTGAAGTGGTTTGAAAAACAAACTGGCCTCTGTGCTAATTCACGCCTACGCAACAAGGCACGAACAGAGCCGTTAGAGGATGTTACTCAATGTGGGACCGTTGTTTATGGAATGAACAGACACCACTCTTCCTCATCAGAAACAAATGAGCTGCGTGACATTTATCAGAGCATCTTTCTGTACCTCCTGTTTGTTTTGAGGAAATACTTTATTTTCTGATTCTGTATCCGTCTAAATCCTGACTGCACCATGAGCAGTACCAGTGGCTTCCTGGTTTGAAGAGAGCAGGTGTTTTTATCTGTATCACAGCTACATTTAAATCCCAGTAAAATGAGTCGCAGTAGACTGTGATGAATTGTGGAGTGATTTTGAGTATAGCTTTGAAGCATTATTAGGATAAAGCCGCAAATAAACTCACATTTAACCATCCCCATGAGCAACGTGGCTACCTGGTGTCTCCTGCGTTTCTTGAGAGGGTTGGTTTTTCGGAATTATTATTTTTTAATTATTATTTTTTTGTTTATTGAAACAAAATAACACATGAAGTGTGGGTATTTCCAACTTATGCAGTCTATGAAATGCAAGAAAGGGAAAAGGAGTGGAAATAAATAAATAAAAAATTACCAATAATAATGATGATAACAGTACTACTAATAGAATCAGCTTTTTAAATTTTAGAGGTTGGTGGGAATGTGCGTGGCCTCAGCCCCAGGTGTTTGGTTCAAGTTGAAATGTGTTAGAAATGGGTTCCATGTGTCATGAAATGCAGACAAACTATTCTTGTGAGTGGATGCCATTTTCTCTAATGTGATGTATTCTGTCAGAAGGTTGGTCCAGTGGTTTATGTATAATGATTTTTTTGATTTCCAGTTTTGAAAGATAGTTTTCTTGGCAATGGCTAGAGAAATGAGGAGTGGGTTTTTATATTTAATTGGTAGGTGGTCGATTTCTATGATATTACCGAGTAAGCAATATAATGGAAAAGGAGGGATTCTACAGCCCAAGATGGTGGAGAGTTTCTCTGTCACTGCTATCCAGAGGGAATGAACTGGTCAGCAGGTCCAAGTACCATGAAAATAACTGTCGGTGCAACCTAGAGTGCATTGTGAACAGATGTCTGTGTCAGTGAAACCCATTTTGAACATTTTACTTAGTGTAATATGGGTCCTGTAAATGTTCTTGTAGTGTATAAGTTGTACGTTTACGTTGCTGGTCATAGAAAAGATGTTATTGCAAACTTCTGTCCAGAAGTCAGAGTTGAAGGAGAGAGTTAAATCATTTTGTGCGGAAATTTACATGAGATACAGTTCAGCACATGAACAGTTGGGGCAGAAAGTAAGTTTATAAGCAGCTCTGGATGAGGACAGCATTGACAGAAAACTTAGAAGAGACACTCTGCAGTGCTGCTTCTGCTGTTTTCTCTGTAGTGATCTCAAGTGTCTCTTTGTTCCTTCTCCCTGATGCCTGGACCAATCAGAACCCACCTTTCTGCAGGCTGCCAGTAGCCCTCATTTTAATGTGTTTGTCGGTGCATGGATGCAGCTGGATGCTTTTTAAGCATCAGGCAACAGAAGGCTCACAAAGAGATGAGAGTTAGGATAGTCTGGAACAAGCATGGACTTGTCCTTCCACCATTTAATCTGTTAATTCATACTGTGGGCTGCATACATCTCATACTCTGCAATTTCCTGGCTATACCACAATGTCAGGGCAATACAATACACATATTATGAAGCATTTATGATTCTGTTCATTTTGCAGCTGACTTTCTGTGTTTACATTAGAGTCACCATCGCCCCTGTACTGTACTTTTCATTTGGTCTCAAGATGTAATTTACTTTGCATTAAAAGGCAACTCTTACTCATATTACGTACCCAATGACAGTAATCAAGTAGAAATAAGCTTTCTAATGTAACTCCATCTACTACACTATTAGTATTTGACTCTGGTGGAGAATGCTAAATCTTTTCAACATTAATTTTTGCAAAAAAAAAAGTAATACAGTTTAGTCTAAAAACATTAGAAATTGGCCATAAACCCCAGTAGCTGTAATATGTGTATCATGTACACTCTTTCTCAAGTCATTAAAATTTCCAGAAATAAGCCAGAGGACATGAGTTTCCCTGTGTGAACAAAATAAGCAGCACAGACGGAGCCCTGCGGTCTTACTTGGTACAGTCCTTGAAGAGCTCTTTGCAGGCCTCCTGCTGCAGGGCCTCGGTGCACTGAGCCATCATGGCCTCTTCCACCTCAGGCACATGGTCCTCTGACTGCACCACGACATAAAAAAAAAAACCATTAAGTGCAGGTAAACACAGTGACTCACTGGCAGAAGAAGCTGGATGGGCTGGGTTTCAGATGGTGCTGGGAGATGATTATCTTCTACACGCATGTTCAGACTTGTATGTACACAATTACACACTGCTGCAGGTGAAAAACAGTCTGAAGCACACACGGAGAAACAGATTCATCAGGACAAACTGAGGGAAACTTCGAAAGAAAGTAGCAATTTGGCCAAATCTGACACTTTTACATCATAAGGATGTTAATTTATTGTCCCTGAGCATTTTCTGTGTAAAGTGAGAGGTGTAGTCGTGGAAACCACCAAGGTTAGGGTGTCCTTTCATGGGTAAAGGATCGTTAGTGGAAAAGATTTGTAAGTGTAAATGAGCCAGGCCGGAGTGTCTTATCTCCTGAGAGGTGCTTTCAAAGGTCATCGAGCAGAGTTGATCTGCTGTCGGGTCCGGCAGAGCTTTTTTTTATTTTTTTTATTTAATTTATACACGACAGATTCAGGTCCACTTTCCATGGCATGTTTCAGGTCGGGCCTAAATTTTTGGACCAGTGAAGGCCTCTACTGTAAATGAAAGAGTTCTTGAACATAGCATCGGGAAGGGTTTCAAAACTCTAGCAAAGTCCCTCTGATGTATTAATAGCACTGATTTGAAATATTAAACAAATTCCAGGTGAAGTTTTATACTGTGCGTTCATGACATATTTCATAGAAAAGGGTTTTGCTAGAGGTTTGCAAATGCTTATATGTAGATATTTTTAGTCCTAAAGAAGAGCTGTGTACATTCTTTCAAATAGCTTTTTATAATGTATTGCCCACATGGTTAAAGTATTTTAAAGTATTCAGTTAGTATTGTTTTCTCTGCATGGAACCATAGAAAGAGAAGGAGGTCCATAAAAGCAACGGCTACCTTTGGGTTGAAGTATTTGTCAATGAGTTCCTGGCCACACTCCTTCCTCTTCTCATCTGGAGTCACCTCGTACTCTGCCTGCACACAAACACACATCAGGACACAGTGAGTCAGCCACGGCAGGAGTTTTGGCTTAACCATCTAAACGTGACCGTGATTAGGCAGTTTCAGACTCTGCTTCGGACACAGCCGCCTGGGGTTGAAGTGTAAATGACTTGAACACACAAAAACCAGCACTAAGTCATTTCTCACATGTACTGTAAAGTGAAACCAGGAAGTGCAGTGACACGGGAGCTGCTAGAGCAAATGAGAATGACACAATGAGGTAGAGAAAAGCTCGACATGAGCAATAAAACATTTTTCATTTACAATGCCAGTTACACTCACCAAGCACTTTATTAGGTACACCTGTATAGATGTATGCAGCAAATACAACAGCTATGTATTTATGAAGCTCATAATGTTTCAGTTTTTGGTGAAACTCAGAAATACACATCTTGAATGTTTCTCATTGAGGTTACAGTTAATCGTGCTGTGGTACTGGACTGCATTATGTTTGTTGTCCAGGGGTTCAGAATATTGGGAACCACTCAATCACTGATAAAAAAAAGCAGCTTTAAAATGATGAACGTGTTTTTCTGAGCATCACAAACCCTGTGAAATGACTCTGTTAGTTTGATCCATTTGGTTCGATACGATTTGAAAAGTTTTAAGAGAGCTGTAGGATTATTTCATTTTATCATTAATGTGTGACCGTGCCAACAGGACGTCAGCCGGCTTGGCACTAATGCACATGCTCTTTAAGCCAAAAACATGGAAGCATGCTAAACATCAAGGTACTTTTTTTGGTTGTAATCCAAAAGCATGAATAACTTTTATGAGTCACCGAGCAACTTTTACAGAAATGAATTGAGTGCCATGTTGTTAGTCCAGTTCTCAGTAGCACTTCCCTGTAATAACCGTGTACATGGCATCATCATCATTCATCCCAGCCACCTCCACTAAAGACCTCAATGAGTTCAGAAAACCCAATTTAAGCTTTAACTGAAGAGCTGTGGGAGGCCCGTTCTACGCCCTGTAGGACGTGAACTGATGACTGCTCTCATCAACCATTCCTCTGAATGTCTTGCAGTAAAGAGGGTCTGACTGGAAAACTCCAAAGTGCTTCCTCTCCTCTCTCACAACGAGAGCCTGTAAACTAACGCTATATGACAGTGAAGACGGTTCAGATCTCATTTCCATCTCGTCCTCAAAGAAGAGACGGGAAGCAGTTGCAGGGTAAAAGAGAACATAATTGCTTCATATGTGAGTTGTATCCACTGGACAACTGAAAGCTAGAAACTTGTCAGTCAGGCTGGAGAGCCTCCCTGCCTTCAGACAAACAAACTACTCTTCAGATCTGACTGCAAAGACTGACTAACATACTGTACCTCAGATCATTTCACATGGCTGATCACTTGCATGATCTTTCCACATCACACGCAGGAAGGCAACTCGAACAGAATCGGCACAGAACCCACTTCAGCATTGTGTTTCTTTGCAGCCACTTTTCTTTTGTGATTATGATCCTGTCTGACAAACAAGCTGTCATCATTTTACAGCTCAGAGTATTGAAGGTTGCCCTGAACTACATTATGTGAATACTCAAATATGTTTTTGTTATATTGGTGTCGGAATCGCAGTCATGATTTGAAGCTTAAAGGATCTAAGGATGACAGTGAGTTTGTCAGTCGGTTTTCATCCAAACTGAAATAACGTAGCCACGAAAACATAAGATATTTTTTCTGGATGTTAAACCTGAAAAAGATGGTTCATGTTATATTTGAGGATTAAACATTTATGTTCTTTGTGAACGGACATTGTATTAATGGCTAGCATGTCTGTTTATAGTACAGGAGTTGTTATATAACCGGTTTAGCAACCATGAATTATATTCTTGATGAGTGAAAAGGAGTTGAAAGTGTCTCTACTGCAGAAACAAATAAGAGATTGAATCATGTGTCAGGTCCTTAAATCTCTGGTGTTAGTGCCAACACATGCACAAGGAAGAACGCCACATCTGAATCCAGTGACGAAGGAAAGAACAGTTTATCATTTATGAACTATGCACCCAACAAAACCAAAACAGCATTAATGAGACCACACACAGACCGATGGGAATAAAACAACAGAGTAACTGAAACATTCCTCGGGTCAACACACTGTGTATGTGTTACACAACAGGGGAGGAAGAGAAGGGTGACACACCAATACAGTTTGCAGTTAAAGAGTTCCTGCATTTCATTAAACAGATATTAAACTATTTCCCCCTCCCCCTCCTCTTCATGAACTTCAAGTGTTGGAGGTATTTCAGGATAATTAAAGTTCCTGCATCAGAGGCTCACCGTGAGAGCCAGCTTGCCAATTTACTTCCAGCAGCCATCTGTAAAACTGCTTTTAAAGCAGATGTTTCAAGGATCATTTCACCCAAATCATAAAAAAGTACTTTCCCACTAACTTCAATTGGTTCTTACTCGTGCAGACAGTGCCTCGGGATAGGGCTGTGCCTTATCATAATGTCCTAGATATACCAATGTGATTCATCCCATGATAAGAATTTGTCATCTCACTATACTGATGATATGTGTGATGATGTCGGTATGTGTCATAACATGGTGTTTCACCTGTGCCTACAAACAGAACAAGCATGGTGGAAGAAGAATGTCTTGGAAACACTGGGTTTGTTCCACAATCACAAGTTAAAAAACACAGGGCAAGAATAGGAGAAAAGCCAGAGGCTGTGGGATGAGAACAGATGTTAGTCCAACAGCAAATTCCTTTGATTCACGTCGACGTGAATCAAAGGACGTGTCATCAGCGCTTTAGCCAGTAATAAAAGAAGTAAAAGATGGAGGAAAACTGACAGAGGAGGAGCTAAAGACATGATGTGAATTGAAACGGTTGACAAGGAGGGATTTGCAATAAAATTCATGTTATATTTGTTTTAACCAAATTGATTGTTGTACAACCCCAAATCAGAAAAAGTTGGGACGGTGTGCAAAATCTAAATTAAAACTGAAAATAGCGATGTGTATACTATCTGATGTGATGCCTCATCAGTTTTTTTTCCTTTTTGAGTTACTGATACTGTTGAAAAGTGCTGTTTTCATTATCACCATTTACATCACTATTGAAAAAATATAGCTAAATGTTGTGATATAATTTTTAGCCTATGTAGCTCAGCCCCACCAGTGCAATAGAGTTCAGTTACATTTAGTCTGAGGTACTCGCAGCTTGACAAAGTACTTTTAAAAACATTTACTCCCTTGTTTCTCTGGATAATTCACCAAACATGCTATGCACAGCAATCCAACTTTTTTCTTTTAAAACAGATTCGGATATTCAGATCTTGTGTAATTTGTGTTTGTTACTATGTCAGGGGAAACTCGAATCTTGCCACCGTGCTAACCTTCTTCATCAAGCCTGTCTCCCTCCTCCTGGCTACAGCACAAGCTGAGGTTGATTTTGAGCTGGGAATGAAACAGGGAAACATGTTTCTTGCACACGATTTCTTCTACACACAGACGCATCTCTTCCTTCAATAACAGGAATAGTGGAGCATTTCAGGGAAGACAGAAACACCAAGAAAGTCCTTGAGACCCCCACCTCACTCTATCATTCCCACCTTTTGTTTTGACACACGAGTAGACATGGAAAATACTTTAGTGGTTTGGGACACAACTTTTAAACTCAGCAGCACAAACACACATGCTTCCAGGAATCCAAACACCCCATCAGCACACACGCTCTCCCCCTCTTCTTACCACAGCATCCAGGAACTTGACACAGCGTCGCAGCTCGGGTCGAGTCTCACAGAACTGTCTGAACAGTAACCGTCCGACAGGCTGTCGCTCACAGAGGCTGCTGTAGTCCTTCTCTGCAGAGACAGAGAAACACACAGAGGGCCTGGTGATGAGACACTTTCCAGTACGATAACACTCAAATTATGGTGTCATTAAAAAGTTTCATGTAAATTACTCTAATTTTAATAAAAGCAGAACCTGAATCAGTGCTAAATACCACCAGCTGCCAGGGTTTCCCATATCAATTTATAATGTCTAAAATAAAACATGCCCCCTTACATTCATGTGAAATATATGGTTGAGCTTATTGTCACACCAGACACTGGAGTTCACATCCACACTTTAACAGTTTTATCAAGTCTAGACAGGCATAAACCCGAAAGCTACCTCATGTAGAGGTTTACCAGGAAGGCACTTTGTATCTGCAGTTGTGAGTTCGCCTTTCCAGCTGTGCTTCAGTACAAAAAACAATGTCAAGGAAATGTGAATTTGCATCTGTGACTCACATGGATGCAAAGCAGCTCAAAAAGCTTTATATATAAACAAATGTGATTCAGGGAGGAGCAGTGAAGCCAGTGTGGTTGTTATGAGAGGAGAGCAAAGCAAATGATCTGCAGAAAATTTCATTCAGAACAACATGTCAAACAGCAACAGCACTCACCAACACAGGTGAATCATGCCAACTCCACACCAACACAGTCGGAGAAATGAATGCAAGCATCGTGCATGGTGTAAACTAAAACTAATTTGACCAATAACAATTATAAAGCACCAGGAAAATTAGTTGGATCTAAGGCAGCAGTTATCATTGTTTTTCATTTATCATTCATTAATACTGAAATCAGATTCTGGGGGCGGCTGGTGGCCCCTCTGGCCACCCCCCGGCTCTGCCCATGTGTGACAGCCAAGCCGATATTATATTATTATGTTTTTCATTATAGGAACTCCAGAATAACAGGGGATGTTTCTATTGTACAGTGACTTGCATAAAGATCCTTTCAATAAATTAGTTATGATATTAATTCTTCTTTTTTTTTTGCAGATGTGCTCAGAGGCTGTGCCTGACTTGACCATCCTGTCTGGAGCACTTGTGTTAAATGCTAAACATTAGAAACTTGGTAACTGTGACAAGTTCAAATAATAACACGACAGTGTAGGAGTTGTCAAATACCAAAGTGTTGTCTTACTTAAAACTGCTGAGCAACAGGTGTAAAAACCTGAATGACTGACTGTGAACTATTTGTCAAGTTTTCACCACAAAATGTTTTATTTCCACCTCACAGACGACTACAAGCAAAATCGGAATTGAAACTGTTTAAAGAATTTACTGAAACTGATTAATGAGGTACATTAGTTTGTTGTACAGACAAAAGGCAGACTTTCTGATTAAAGGAGCAGGAACAGAGATATCCTGAGTGTGAATCGGAGTATAGGTCCACTTTCAGGATTAATCCCAAACATATGTATATCACTTTACTCAGTCATTTCCCATCGATGACACATTGACTGTTGGTAACTGATGCTTGAGTTTTATCCCACCTCCAATTGTTTCTCTTCTACTTATCTCTCTGCTGCTGCGTCGTGTGTTCTCCGCTCTGCTGCTCTAATGACCTCTAATGAAAAATAGAAGAGCTGAAGGCAAAACGAACAATGAGGAAGCGTGGAGGAAACGAGTCAAAAGAAAAGCTGGACAGAGTGGGATTTCTGGGAGGCTGCAGGGGTTAAAATTCATCAGGTTGTTAAACCGCTTCAAGACCAGCATGACTCAAATTCATTTTTGTAATTAACAGTTTAAAGTCCCTAAATCCCAGAAGCAGATTCTCCTCTGAAAAACACCAAAAATTGGCTTCATTACAGTTCATGGTTGAGACTACACTGGCCTCAGTTCTGAGAACTTTTCATTATCTGGTTGTGGATCAGTGGACTTTCTCAATAGATCGGTGGAGGTGTGATGTACATGAACAGAGCTCTGGGACTGGGCTGAACACACTGTACATCATCACACACAGGTTAAACAAACAGGCCTCCATCAAGCCTGCTGAATTTCACTTTGCCATTGTGGATTACTGAGTGCAGACTCGTGGCAAAAATGGTAATTTTATCCATTTAAAGTTAAATCCACAAGACAACAAAGTGTGCAAACAATGAAGGGGTGTGAATCTTTTCTGGAGCTACTGTGTCTGCAGATTAGTCAGTGGGTTTCCTTCATCTCTAGGTCAGGCAGAAACACATGTCGGTGAAAATGCATACAAACAAAAGGTTTACAGCAGCTGACCAGGCTGCAGAAGAGCAGCCAGGAGGAGGAGGAGGAGAAGAGGAGCTATGAAGACCCGAGATGATTTATGTGGTGTTCATACAGAGAACAAGCATATGTATGCTGAGTTTCCTGGACGTGTCCATCACTGTCAGTAGACAGGACATTTATAGAAAACAACAGCAGAAGCACAGTGTTAACAACAGCCACAGTTTCGGCTGTTGATGCAGTCACAAAGCTTTTACCGATCAGGACCAATAAATGACATTTCAAACGACACACTCTGAGCTACAGGGTCAACAAACCCCCAAGTCAAATGGTTCTGTTAGTGTTATTGTAAATACACAAACTGTTATCCTTTACACACCTACAGTAGACCCATCTCAGAAGGACTACATATATGTCATGATTCTGTCCTTTCAGGTTCCATTCTCATGCTTTTATGTTGACACTACTTCCTGTTTCTGTTTCATCTCAGTTTTGGATTGTTTTCACCTGCTTTTATACCGATATAAGCAGCTTTCCGTCCACCAGAAAGCTGCCAGATTGTTCTCTCACCCATGTCAGATGTTCCAGTGTTTTTCCCCTTGTGTGTGTATTTCCGGTTTTGACCCCGGACTGTATTTTGACCATTGTGTTCTGCCTTGCCCTCCTGATTCGGACTGCTTTCTGTGTATGGATTATCGGACTTCCCTCTCTGACCCCTCGTTTGTGGATTCATCAGCTGTGTAAGTTTGCTGGGTCTGACCCTGGACTGTATTTTCTACCTGAGTGTGCCTGTGTTTTTTTTTTTTCACGTAGTTTTCCGTATGGTTTTGTTGTCCCTGCTCTTATTAAAGAGCCAGTTTTTCACTTATCCTCGTCTGGCTCTATAATTGAGTTCACCCTTGATATTATCGGCAGCTTCACACGCCGATCCCTGACAGATAAATAATAAAATAACAACAAAACTACCTGTGATGGGTCTAGAAACGTGACTGTGTGTTCTGCTCCCTGACCCCTGTGCTGAATGCCAACAAAGTCAGCTGCTCGTCAGCTAAACAGTGTTCACACCGGGGGGTCTCTGGGAGTCCTGACCCAATTGACAGCTCGGACCCACTGGAAAATCTTAAAATGAACTTTCACAGCGGTCTCAGAAATGTGTCTGGTTATTTTAATTTATTTATTTATCTTCAACAATATAATTTATTTGTAATGCTATAAACTTTAGTTTTTAAAAATATACTGAAATCACTGTTTATGGTATTGTACCGAAAGTGATCGCTCGCTGGAAACAGATCAGTCTCCACCTACAGCAGCTTCTGTCATAACACGCAAAAACAGACAACAAATATCGCCCCAGCTAGTAAACTGTCTGTAAACTGTGTCTATTTAGCTGAATAGTGAGGTCAGACTGACTTTACCTGCTGGTGATGATGCCGGGATCAGGATTTATCAGGAAATCTGCAGGGTATCCACTATTTATCATGGCCTTGCTGACGTGGGACTATCGTATGTGAATGACTGGAGCAAACCCCCTCATAATGCCATTCACACACTGGTTGCAACATCTCCTGCTGCCCAGTGCAACTAGGTTTTTATATGCATTTTCAATTCAAAGTGGAAAGTTTGGAAACTGAAAACAAATCTTCAGATATGACAAATTATGCTTGGCTGAGTTGCATCGATACAAGCAAAACGTGATGGGAAAAATGGGAACAGAATGAAAATGATTAACAAATAAAACAAAGAACTGCTACCTTTCCATCATGTTTTCTATTTTTTTTTATTTGCCTAACAGAAGTGGAGTGAAATGCACATTCAGTTGCTTTTTCTATGGCTCAAAATGCAGTTAAAATTAACACTCCCTATAGATTCTTCTTCAGTCAGTCGAGAAATTTCATAACAATACTAAGACAGGAACCAGTTTTTATTTCGTTACCTGTGTGGAAATCAGATGAGTAAATCCATCTAAAACATGACTCTTTTTAGACTTTAGTAAATCAGATTCCTCATAATAGTGCATAAGGTGGAGAAAACATCTGTAATAAAACGTAATGTTCAAATTGCTAAATTAAAATGCCCCCTGCAGTAGCTCTAATCCCTCTGACATGTGCGAATGTGCTTTAAATCACAGTAAAGGAAAATGTTCAAGCATGTTCTGGACCAAACCTTAAGTCGATAAATCAAGAAAACAATCATACATTGAAATCATTTTTAGTCGCTGCTCTGCCTTTGGTAAATGATTTCCAAACTGTGCAAAGAAGCAGAAGTGGCATCAGCGTGAGCGGCTGCATTTGGACGTTTTGATCCCTGCACTTTTGGAACACTGTGCAAATGCATCATCGTTGTGCAGGACAGAAGTGCTGCATATTATCTGTAGTAGGATACGTGATGTCATACATGTTAGGACAGAAGAGGAGAGCAAAAAAAAAGTAGAGAACAACATGTCTCTGACAAACGAGGAAGTCGACAGCTTCCTGAGTGTCTTTGTCAATACACTTGTTTCTTTCTTCTGGTTTCATAAAACATTATCAGCAGTCAAACTGAGAAGGATGTTTGGAGCTGAATCACTGCTGAGTTCTTCCCTTTCTAATCCTTATGTTTAACTTTGTTTTCCCTCACATTAGCCAGTATTTCCTCTCCTGCCTGAGACGTGCGGCTTTGTGCAGCTACTGTACCTGCTGCCGTGAGACAGCACGTTTGACTGAATGCATTCAAATCAAAGCTTATTTGCATCACAGCTTAGCTCTGTGGTGATGAGACCCTGAAGAAAAGCAGCGTCTGCTGTTGGCGCGCACGTACTCATGCATCGGGCATATTTCATTTTACATGCAGAATATTTTACTGCTCTGTTTGAGAAGAATCTCAGGAGTGAAATTAGAAACTGAATCATGAGGTTAGGCAAAAAAAAAGCAGTTTGGTTGAGGTTATGAAAAGCTGGTTTCATTTTAATAAACACACCCCGTCTCCTGCTTCAAGCCACCTTTCACTTTTTTTATATATAGAGGAACGCCACAGCCTTTCCCTAGAGCTAAAACATAACCATGGAACAGTTATTCATACTTCTATAAGCAAATGTTGTCTTGCAAGACCAGATACTGTCACAAAAACATGAACTTTGTTGGCAGCGAATGTTGTGCAGCCTGGCAGACAGTAATTTTATAGGGTTTTGAACTCGCTTCCTGTTTTGTGCTTTTATTTTGTCTGATTTCCTGTTTTGTGTCTCCAGCCTATATAATCGCCTCCCTTCCCTTGGGCCCCTGCTGGTTCATCCACTCTGTGTTTCATAAGATCTTGTCATCTGATCTCTACGCCTCGTTTGCTCCTGTCGCCTGTTCCCAAGATCTGTTCTACTGCTCATTTACCCTGCTGCTTCTGTCAATTGGTTCATGGATGTCTGTCTCCTGTGTTCAGTACCTAATCCTCACACCCGCTTAGTTTTCATTGCCATTTTCCCTGCTTCAACCATGGAACCTATATTTTGCGTGCAGGTCATTTTTCTAAATAAGTGGCAGACGTTTTATAAACGGGGTGAGAGGAGCTGATTTGATTGGACTAAAGCCCCGACTCCACCTGCTCGTGGTGCATCCCTCCCACTAGCAATGTATTCACCCTCTCCCCCATGTTGCACCTGGCTGCCCCCACTGTGGGCCATTGCCAAAAATGCAAAAACTTGTTGCACACCCCCATGTGCACCTTTTGCCTGAGGTTTACTGCTGCATCCTTTTTCAGGAAAATAGAGCCAAAGTCTGAAAAGGAGGCTGCCCCAGGATTTCAGGTCTCATTATCCTACTTATTCAACATGAAGCTCTTGATGCTATGAAGGTCTGATGGTCGCTACACAAGATGTGTTTAGCTGAAGGGCTGTTCAGACAGTCGCCATGGATACAATGGTCTGAATCTGGTTCAAATGCCTGAGACTCGACGCCTAAAGGACCACAAAGTGAGATAAAAGGACCTCTATAAGATGGACACTGTTGTCTTACCAATGGTCTGTCGCAGCTCTTCACACAGACTGATGTGGGGGAACCGCAGCATCTGCTTCCATTTCTTGCTTTTTCCTTTTCTGTTTCCGCCACCTCCTGTGAAACAAAAACAGCTTTGGTTGAAACTGGGCAGGAGGACAGCACAGAAACACAAAGGAGGATTCTGGGCAGAGGTGGACGTAGAGCAGAGGTCTGATGGTTCGCACTGTCACTGCGCTCACACTTGACCTGCTCTAGGGGGAGTTTGTACCTTCATTCAGCTTTTGTCTCGTGCTCGTGACCGTGCACAGGAGCAAACGGATGAAGAAAATTAGCCAGTGTAGACACGAAGAACACTTCAGCATGAGTTTAATGTAAATCGGTGTCATGTGAGTGCGTGGCAGGCGATATAAATAGTCCAGGTGAGGATGCTGGTTGGTCAACAAGACAACCACGAAAGGCCAGTTCTCTTTGTGGGTGGTTAATTCAAAGGTGCATTTACATAAAAATGAATTCTAATCAAGTATAAAAGTATTAGTATTCATCAGAAAAGATACTTAGAGAAACACAAGATTTCACGGATCTGTTTAATCAGTGGATTAAAAAAAATGTAAAAGGATGGTTTGTGGTTTTGGTGTTATTTTTTTTTTTTTTTTTTTGGTGACAGCTGTTTGTCTGGCAACCTCAGTGCTGCGAGGCCTCCTCTCTTGATTTTTGTTTTAGTGTAAACACTGCTGGAAACTCTGAACCTGTTTACAAAGTCACACTGGGCCTCAACACAGTTTTTACTCATCCTAAACGTCTTGTCCTTTTTCCTGTGAGGTTTGCTTCAGTCAGATTCACTCTGCTCAAACCTGTCAGAAATTACTCATTTCACCTAGAAAAACGCCACCTGTTCATGAAGTTTGTGACTTTTGAACAGCTGCCTCTCATTCACAAAACTGCCACCAAAGAGTACAAAGAGGAACTCTGCAGCGCTGAGCTGGAAGTTGTGCTGTCACAAAGTCAGCATTGTCAGCAGTCGTATCAAGGGACCTGAAACAACTAGAAAACACGAACGCAGCTGCGAGCGACGAGTCCTCAGAGCTGTGCCTCAAACAAAGACAGAGTTGTTTCACATTAAGTCTGCTGCTGAAAAACATCATCTTAAAGTAAACCGATTCATTGCTGCGGTAGTAAACAGTCGAGGAGAAGTATGATAGAATGGTATACAAGAAGGCAGTTACTGGAACAGAGGATGCACAAAGGGCCAGAGGCAGCGGCTGGGTGAGACGCCTCTCCTAACAGCTGAGCCGTGTCAGTGGCTGTGCCAAGATAGTCCAATAAAATAAAACAAAACAGTGAACTGAAAAGACACAGGGGCAATAGTATAGCAAACACTGTGCTGCATTAAGGTTGTTTAAGTTTATATGTTGTATTTTAGTTAATTTCAGCATCATATTCAGGTCTGGACCGCTCAGTGAGTTTTGTTTTACCAACAAGAAACAAATTCAGGTAAATCAGTCATAGTTGCCACTGAAGAATGAATCAGTTTGCATCAGTACCGTTGTAAGGACCGACTACCTATCTGGGGACAAAAAGGTCCCCACAAGAGCAATAATTTATTTTAGGATTAGGATCAGGTGTTTGGTGATGTCCTCATAAGGACAGTAGCACAGGCTTGTTTATCATCAGTCGAGCAATCAGAATAAAGCATAAAAGAGAAACGAGACGAAGTTCCTGTCCTGCCTGAGTCAGTGCTCAGACTGCAGATTCATTCACCACAGTCAGAAACAGAACAGGAGCCAACGTGACACATGTTGTGCAAGCTTCAAACGTCTGCAGGTTGAGCATGCCTTCTGGGGAAATAACCTGAAAAGAGCTTGTATGGTGGGAAAACAAAAACACAATTCTGATAAGGGATTTATCGTTGCACATGACTGTTCTACAAAGGATCAGGAGGTTCAGGGATCACCGACAACAGACTCAGTGCTTCGAAGTGTAATGAGCTATACCCAATCTAGTTTTCGCTGCACTGTAAAACCTACTGTTTATCAGATGGCGGTGGCACAAGCTGACGTATAGAAGCAACACATAACTCGTGGAGCCATTCACCACCACGGCTCCCAACTTGTAATTTGATTTCTAGAACTAAGTGTTTTGCATTTTGATTGACTACCACTGCTCTTAGTAGGAGACAGAGACAGCACAGAAGCTGCTGAAGTAGTCACTGATCAGAGGGTGTTGTTTACAGCTGCAGCCTCGAGGCGTCCTGCCTTCGTCATCACTCGCTGTTCTGATGAGGGGAAAGTCAACGCCATGCTTCAGGATTTGCTATTCAAATCCTGAAAAAAAGCAGCTGCTTGTCAGACAGGCCGGAGTAAAAGTGAATTATTACACAGACACATTGCAAACAAGATGTTGTGTGTGTCCGGTGAACAGATGATAATATCAGCCACACAATTACAGATAAGCTGATTGATAACGGAGAAAGCCAGCTGACTGATGTCCACTCAGTGCACCAGTGGAAATGTAAATGAAGTCAGGCAGTATGAGAATAGAACGGAAGACACTGAAACAGATTAGACACAGAATTAGACTGAGAGCAGCCTCATTAGCTTCAGTCATGGAAGAAATCATCCCACACAGACACAGGGGAAGAAGATGTGCTGTGACGATACGGGTCAGAGGTGACAACACTGGTGGAGGCGACGAAATAAAAACACAGTACATGTACTGGGTGCAGACTCCAAATAAAAAAATACACATGATGATGGAGGGAAATAAATTAATAATCATTATAATAACATACCATATTTGTTTTTAAGGACATTCTTTCACTTCTGTTGATGTAGTTGTTTCATATTGTACATTTGTCATAATCTGACCTCAGAGTCTTGTCTGTGTTTGGTTTATGGCTTTTGCTCCTCACATGTGAGCACTGTCTTAATTTCTTCAAAGTAGATTGAATATTTTTTAAATTTTGGACTGTTGTTCATAAAACAAATCAAAGACTTGTAAATGGAATTTAGTCCCTATTTATTAACATTGTCTTCACTAAGCGAGTAATAGGTTCAGAGCTAATTAGCAGGCACCAGGACAGCCCAGGACCATTAACAATGGAGAAAGTAGTCGGCAGATTAGTTGGTGATAAAAAATAATTGTTAGTTGCAAGCCCAAATATGGACATTACCCATAAAACACCAAGAACTGTTTGTTCCTACTATGGGTCAAGTTCCAAAAACACTGGAGCTAATAAAAACGTTTGACTGGACCGTCCCTGCCTCCTAAATTCCAGTTTCTTCTCTGTCTCTGCCTGAGACAAAATATTTGTGCCGCTTCACAGGAAGAGTGAACTGTTCATGTGTAAAATCAGGGGAGTGCTCCTTCACAGGCTTAAAAATGCACAGTACCTTTAAACTGAACGGAACCATGTCAGTGTCATGGTCGTGTTTTCACCAGATGAACAGTGGACTTGCAAGATTATTTGCTTGCATCATCTGGCTACATCATTCACTTTGCATTGTCCTGGCATGTCGTTCAGCTTCCTCCCAAATTGTGCATCTTTGCATATGAGCACATCTCTTTTTGGTACCCAGACACGAGTCTGTACTTAAAATGATGATGGTAATATAACAGCCCAGAGGTCAGAGGTCAAGCCTGCCTGCTGCTGGGCACAACAAGCAGACTGAACTGAGCAGATCAGCTCACAGTGCAGGATCATGACAGTCATGTTATCACCCCCCTCTGCAGATGGCATCAGGATTTGGGTGATGAGTCACCACAACCTTTGTCTCCTGTTTAGAAAAACAGTAACAAAGAGCTCTGATAATGATGCCATCTTTCACAATAAGAAGCCTGGTTTCACTTCACACTGTGAGTGTTGATGGGTGTCAGTAGAGCCACTGGCTGTTTGGTAGATGTAACATTTGCTGTGACATATTTGCACTTTAAATGTTTGGCTGAGCTGTTAACCTGGAGCAGTTTAACAAGCCCACGCCAAAGTCATTCATCGCAATTCATTGCACAAAGTACAAACCTCTGTCCAACGCAGCCATTCTGCCTCAACATCCTGTTTCGCAAACGATGCTGCAGCCTCAGCAAGGGAAGCCCGCGGTGTCGCTGCAGTCACATTTCACAAAGCAACCTCTTCCGGACCTCGGTACACTATCACGACCTCCTTTTACAAACCAGTCCGCTTTATGCGCTCTTTGATTGAAACTGTACTGAACAACCCACACATCAATGCGGAAGTGTTTACAGGTCTCTGGGATCCAGTCTTTCATTCGTCATGCTTCATTTCAATAAGTATTAGTGATATCCCCATTGTCTTCTTTCAGCATGCCTCACTGTGAAGGTGGTTAGTGGTTATATCTGTATTTGACAGTTTATAGTGAGCACCGTCAGCAAGGAAGGCGCTAATTTCTATGCAATTATTATATGAACCAGGTCCCTGCCGATTTGCCCACTGTTTATTATTATTTATTACGGACTTGGACCAGCGTTTCGGGACATGTATAGCACCTATGTGTGCTCACGGACCAGCCGGAAAACTTTAAATTGCCCAAGTTGAAAGCTCGGCACGTCGTTCTAGTCACTCGAGAGAACGGCGCGTGTTTTATGTAACATTAATATCGTTACTGAACCGCAGTAACAACGATCTGGACACTAACACAACCAAAGGTACATGCAGTAATAGTGCATATGACCCATGCAGGCATCCTTCCAGCCGGTAGATCGGCTGTGTCGCCGGTGAAGTACCTATAGAGAGAGGAGCTGTCACACCGCCGTGTCCATCCTTACCTTCCCGTGCTTTCAGCAACACCGTGTTGGCTACGATGTTCTCCAGCTCCATGCTGATGTTGTCTGGGGTCACAGCAGCAGACCGAGATCCCGGTCTGCTGCTCCGGTCTCACTGTATCCCTCCTAGACACCGTCCACCACCACCTCCCACCGCTATGTCAAGGAGGTAACATTCAAACCTCCGTGTGCGCCTTCACGCAGTCCTGTGCGGTACTCGTCTATACCCTCCTCTCCTCTTTCTCTTCCCTCCATCTCTCCGCCCTGAAACTGCTGTGAGAGGCGGAGCCAGACTTATCACTGTTGGAAAATTGCAGTTCACTAAAAGCAGAAAATGGCTTGGCTGCACAGTTCTGTGTGCGCCAGGGAGATACTTTTATCTGTTGTAAGATCTTGAAACATAATGCTATGCTGCGTTTATGTCCATGTTTAAGTGCGGTTCTCTTGGCTGCTCTAGTGGACAGCAATTATATGAGTATCAGTATTTTTAACCAAGATATAATCATTGTTATCGTTCACAAACTGACGTTATTCGAGCTCATGGGAGTTGTCTTTAGTTCACTTTTAGCCAAAGAGGAGATGTTTTAAAACTGAAGTCATAGGACTGAATGATACGATGACGGTGATCACTGGCAGAGAAATCTGACTTTTACAACAGAAAGTTTGAGGATGTGTGTTATGATTCGTGGACTTGCTTCCTGTTCGAGGCTTTTATTTTGTTTAGTTTCCTGTTTTCTGTCATCTCACCTGCCCCAGCTTTACTCCGATCTACACTCACCACTCGGGTTCACCTGTCCCTCGTTTTCCTTTGGTCTCTTGTGTATTTATACTCCCTCTTTCCCCCAGGCTGGTTGCTGGCTCATCTGTTCTCCGTGCCTCGTTGCCCCTGTCATCCGTAACCACACCCTGCCTGTCTGCTTTGTCCACTTTGTAAGTTTTTGTATCAGCAGCCTTGGTTATTTTTGGAGTGTTCATTTGAGTTGGGTAGGTAGGTAGGTAGGTAGGTAGGTAGGTATGTATGTATGTAGGTAGGTAGGTAGTACTTTATTGATCCCTCAATGAGGACATTTCAGTGTTTCAGCAGCAATGGAGAACAAACAACATAACACCATGAGAAACAAACACCACACACATATCTTGATAAACAAATTGCAGTACCTCAAGCAGCAATAGAGAACAGACAGCATAACACCATGAGAACAAGCACTGCACACACATCCTGATAAATAAATTCCAAGTGCTCAAAAATGACAGTTAATCCTGGCAGCAAGATTCTTGGTTAGTTTTCCGGGTTTGTTTTAGCTTTTACAGTCTGTTTATAGCTCCCTGACCGTTCTGTGTAGAAATTTAGTTTGTACCTATATTGTGAAGTCTTGTCAGGTTGAGCATCTATTTGCCCATATTTCATATTGAACTGAATAAACGCTAGACCCTAGACCATGTCAACATTTTAGGCCCTTCTCTGCCCAAAACCTAACAATTTGTTTTTATTTGTTCAGTTTTAGCATTGTGCATCAAATGTTTTATCTCTACATGTCATCAATAATAATAATAATAATAATAATAATAATAATGTAGTAATCAGTCGCCAGTTAATGGGACATACAGTACTTTATGAATGAGCTTTGCATTACTTATAATAAATGTCTGTACATTTGTGTGTTTTTTGTATTTGCATTGTTTGGGTGTTTATTTGTGTATCAGAGGTAGAAAGTAACTAGAACAAGTGCATCATTTCAGTTTTGAGGTATCTGTAGGCTACTTGAGTATTTCCATGTCATGCGACTTTATACTATATACTATAGTATTTCTACACTGTAGAATTGCTACAGTCTGAATATTTCTTCCATGTGTATTGTGTCCCGCATACGGAGAGAACTGTGTCAACACAGAAAAATGACGTTCAAAATAGAATTTAAATTTAAAACATTAGCAAAGGTCAAAGTTGGCAAAACGAGGCGTGGTCTGAGATCACATGACGGGAAGTAAACAAACACGTGTTCCTCGTTGCTGCTGCTGCTGCTGCTGCATGCTGTCGTTTCCTCACAGCGGCCGTACAAACTCCCTCTCCGCTGTGGATACAGAAAGATCATAAAAATGCCGAAAGCCAAGAAGTCGGGCAAGAGGAAGAAGTTTGACTACAACCAAGACCGGAAGAAGCTGAAGAAGAGGTTCATTAAGAAGTACAAGCCGAGGATAGAAAGGTAATCGAGGAATGGAGCGTTAGCATGGTAGCTAGCGGTAGCTAACGTTGGGTTTGTTGTGTGAGTGTTTATCCCTTTTTGGTTTGCTTGTTTTTTCGGGGTGTCTTAAATAAAACACGGGGTTTGTAGTTGCCTGAGGCCATGTTTGGAAACCGGGGGTGCGATTTATTGTTTGGTCTTTAAAATGTCAAAATAGTGCTAAAACGATGTCTGTCTAAAATTCTGTTACCGCTGTCTGATTAGTTGTCCCTTATAAAGTGTTTAGCAGCTATATTTAACTGATTTATTAGAGATTCATTAATCACTGGCTAATATTTTATAGAGCAGTTATTAAAGCATTGTTTAGGGGTAATTTTGGGTTGCCAGATTGCGGTACAACTCCCGTCATCACCGAGTTCTCGGGCTTTGGCTTCAGATCAACATCATTCCTCTAAAGCCGCTCTCCACCACCAGTAGAATCTTCCCCCATTTTTAAGAGACAAGAGCACAAAATGTTCATTGGAGAGGTTTCACTAAAAAGATTCATGTGTCATGTTAGAACCTGGCAACCCAGAAGTTTTGTCTGAATATATCAGAATTTGTATTTGGTTTGTTTTAAGGTATAGTTTTCTCCTGCACAAATTCAGCTGATTGTGACTTCACCTGTTAGATTTATTATTGTTGTTGTTATTGTTATTTTAATGCATCTTTGTCTTGTGCTGTTCCTTAGTGCACAAATTCGAAATGCGTGGGACGAGAGAAAGTCCACGGCCAGAAACCTGCAGGAGATGGGTTTGAGTTTTGATCCCAACCGAACTCTGCCCATAAAGGAACAGAGTGTAAGTGGCTTTTATCCCAATTATGCTTCCTGAAAAGACCAGCCTTTAACTTGGATCAGTGTGCTGTGTGCAGTTTAAGCATGTTCTTACATTGTTTTACATTTTCTTTTTTTGACAGTGTGGATGCAGGCAGGATGTTGTTACGTTTTTACATTTTGCTACCAGAACACCACACATTTTAGTATCTTGTGTGTCCCGGTGTTTCCCTTAGGGTAAATAATTTTTTCTGTCAGTCTCTTCTCCCAAATCTTTCAACTTCTGGTGTCTGTTTTTACTGAGAGCTTTGCAGTGAAAAAGTTCAACTCGTTGTTAGGAGGGAATTTTTCCATTCTGTTTAACCATGAGTTCATCAGTACTGCAGAAATTCACACACTATTTTAAACATAAAAAAACTAGTAGTACAAAAAATGTTGTCAGCTTAATCTGTAAAGAAACTGTATGTATGATGGTACATATCCACCCATAACCGCATTACCCCAGAGATATTGTTGTGCCAGATGTGGCCAGGATCGGAGTTGTTCTGTTGGTTGTGTTGCTTCAGCAGCTGGCTCTGCTTTACAGATTTTGGGAAGCTGATAAAACCAGGCTCTTACTCTTCAGGATAAACATAATACACAAGTCCTGCAGGTCAGTTTTTAAAAGGGTGTTTACATCCTGCAGTTAGTTTTGATCAGAAGGGGGCAGCAGAGTGTTGGCCATGATGGGTAAACGTGAAATCAGAAGAAATCTCCTTATATCAAGCAGTCACTCTAGCTGAGGAATCCTCAGATATCTGTGCCTGGATAACAGATATCCAATAAATATGTATTTATTGGTGACATTCAGGGGCAAATACCCCCACAGTGAAACACAACCTGACTGTGATTTCACTTGAGCTTTGTTCATTTCATGCAGTAAAATTGAGCTGCGATGGATGTTGTTTATTCCGTAAAGCGTAGTTAATTGTGTTGCTGTCTTCTGCTTCTGTTGCTGTCTCCCCGAGGTTAATTAAAGCTAATCTGGTGCTCTCAGGCTGCTGCTTGTCTTCCAGCAGCCTCCAACACGGGTTCATTTTGTTAAGTCATGGCAGCGAGTGACCCACAGATGATTTATTTTTGCCTCTTCAGGACTCAGGAGTCAGGACAGTTGAACTCTGCTGCTCATACCTGTCATGTCACATTAGAGAAGTGGATGAATGAACCCATGGCATTGACTTCCATTGTTCTTTGTCTTGTGTTTCTGTTCACTTGTGTAGCTCCTGGGTGAAGGCACAAAGATGAGAACGCGTGTCGGCATCGTGACCAAGCCCTACGTCCTCAGCCGTAAGTCACCACTTTTTAAAACTTCACTGGACTTTGTTTTATTCTTCTGCTTTTGTTAACACTAGAAACCTGCAGCCAGGCCGGAGCCAGAGTCAGGCTGAAGTTTGGTACCTAGTTAATGATTTAGTTTTCATCTTTAGACCAAAATGTATGTTAGTTTTAGTCCTTTTCAGCTGCTTTCATTTACAGTGGATGTAGCCTGTATTTGGTTCAGAATCTAGACTTTTTAATCCAGTTTCACAGAGATGCTTTATTTTTGTCATGCTTTGTTAATGTCTGTCTCATCATATAAGAGACACAAGAGCTGTCCTGTGTGAGGCCTTCAGTGGCCTCTCTGTGGCTCGGTGAGGGATTCAGTGAAATCCCACTGCTGCAGCAGCTCTGGGTTTCAGTGCTGAATGACTTTTATTCCTCCAGCAGTTGTGTTCAGATGTGGTGTGATGATTTTCATCTTACAAACTTAGCCTGTGATGTCGTGCATGTTTTCACTTGATGCCCTTTTTGCTGAATTCAAACAGAAAAATGAGTGAAAGAAGTCCTAACAATCATTAAATCACATGAAGATTAAAACAAAAAAGCATGACTCATCTTTTTGTCCCGTGATTCTGTGAATTCTGATTGTTCTCCTTTTGGTCTGGTTTGGAGCAGAGCTGCAGGAGGAGGCCAGTCGTCCAGAGAAGGACTCAAAGACGTTGTCGTCCGACCTGGTAGAGTACATTCAGCACATGATCCGAGAACACAAGGACAACTACAAGGTAACAAACCTGGGCAGTGTTGCTGCAGCGACCAGCCTGCCAGTTTTACATGATCTAGCTCCGTATTCAACGCGAGTGTAGTTCCCTGCCAGTCACTCTCCATTGCCTGCAGACTGTTTTGATGATTCACACCAGTGCAACACACCCATGCCGGGAAATTAATGAGCAGATCGATGTATTTTTATGGAGTTATTTGTTATTCCACCCAATAACGGCCACGTGTTTAACAGAACCAGACCCACACAGGGCTTTAAAGTTTGATTCTGATATTTAGGGGTTTAAAAAAATTTGCCATATATCAACCAACAGTCTTTTTTTAATTAACAGGAAAAACATAATTTTGATAATGATCTCTTACTTTTCCTTACTGAGTGTCTGCTCGGCTTTCACTGACATTTACTTGTCTCTGTTTTTCCACTGGTCTCATCTCTCTCTCTCCAGTTCCAGACAGTTCTTCTAAAATGCAATGGTCAGACCTGAGCTCAGGGTTTTGGCTTTAATGTTTTTCAAAATACCTGAATACTATATTGGTCATGCTTTATTTTACATGCCTGTAGATTCCAGTTTATTTCTAAATAGTTTCCTAAGATGTTTCCTGGAAAGAACCATGTCATTTAGGTCAAATTATAGGCGCTTTAATGGAAATTCATCTGGGCTGACTAAGGAAAAAAATCAGCCTTAGAGCTGTCTCTTTTTCTGTAATTAATACCAAACTACATGGTTCTTTCCAGAAAACGTTCAAGGGATTATTAGAAACTAGCAGACCTGTAAAATAGTGTTACCAGTGTAATCCAGGGTGTTGGCTAGAGGAGGGAGAACATGACAGAACCGTTGCAACTGTCTTACTGACTGTTTCACAAGTACACCATGTGAAATCCAGTTTGTCAGCAGCTGTAGCTGAAGGAACTGGTGCTGCCAGGCTTATTTAGGTTAAACAGGAGGAGTTTAAGGCCAGTACTTGCATATATGCAGGTAGCTTAAATCAGACGATCCATATGGATGTACCCCGAGGGGAGTTTTGCATAAAGCTTCGGGAGGTGAAGGTTCCTTCTTGGTGCTTCAAGGACACATTGTCCATCTGATACCCGAGGGCCAGCTGCCAGATGTTTGTACCACCCTGGACGCACTCAGCTGCTGCGGAGGACAAGCACTTATCTTGAGGGTACTCTGTGATAACACTGTGCTCCTGTTTGGGTTTCCTTGAAAACCTAGAAACAAAGTTGCACAGCTGAAGGGCAAATCAGCTCTGTGATAACAGCAGCAGACCTGTGTTTGCCTCAGAATGTTAAACTGCAGGGACATGCTGATGCACATCAGGGCCAAAGCCACGAGCTTAGTGTGTCTTTAGTTTTTATTTCTCAGAGCGGCAGGCGCTCATCAGAGATGTGCCTCATTCAAATGGGTTTTTGACAGCTGCTTTAAATGGGGCTGAGTCATCACTGCCAGAATAACATACTCTGTGAATGTGTGTGCGGTTCTTTTAACACTGTTAAACAGATAATATTCCAACCTTGACTTGAAATTCTGAAAGACCGAGTCAGTCACCTGCATATAACTGTGGCACTTCTTTGTGTAACTGCCCTGTCAAATGGAGTTTTGCATCACTCTGAAGCTGGAGTCAGTATACAGGTGGTGTTGGTGCCTAAACCTGGGGAGGTTTAAGATTGTGGTGGAAGCTCAGAACAGAAAACTGTGACGAGGACTCCTGTTGGATAAAATGTTGCTCTATCGGTGCAGTGCACTGTGCTGACTGTTACCAACTAGCCTGCACTGAGTCCAGCATGCGGCAGGGTCCAAACTGACTGTGTTGTCTTCTCTGCTGCAGGCGATGGCCAGGGACGAGAAGAACTACTACCAGGACACCCCCAAACAGATCAAGAGGAAGATCAACGAGTACAAGCGCTGCCACCCGGAGCACTACGACGCCTTCATCAAGTCTTTAGCTGCTCCAGAGCCGATGGACCAGTAGAAGACTGTCACTCACTGTGTGTAAGGACAAGCAAGACAGAAGACTGTTAGACTGAGACACGAGTCCAGTATGTGGACCATAATGAACCCACAGTGACAGGAAGTGTCCAGGAGGACTGAGGGAGGGGACATGTCAGGGGGTTTTGGATTGTTTTCTGTTTGGTTTCCTGAACATTTTCCTGCCTGCTAGTTCTGTTAAAACTATCAGATACGCATGAGCTGTATTATTTAATAATGTTTCACGTCCTAACATACAGTGGAGAGTGGACGCTTTGCTCTGGTCTTTCCCGTGTCGTCGTCCTGATCATCTCAAGCTCACACAGGAGCATGAGCGTCCAAACTAACACACAACCTGTGTAGACATACAGGCAGTTCTGTGTTAAAATGTCCAGAGAACTCGCCAGCCAGCTTGTGACCCAGTTTGTGAGCACAGGAAACTGATTAACTGGCCTGATTACTCCCACATTAAATATGTAATTACAGAACAGAAGTATTGGACTTAGATTTTTTTTTTAAGACTTTGTTTAAACTTGCTTTGTTGCCATAAAATCAGAATGTGCTGTGTTGCACCTAGAAAATAAAAACTTGTATCTAAAAGTCAGCTGACTTGTTTTCCATTGTTGTAAGAAAAACACAAAAGACTTCACAGTCCAGTGGATAAAATCGTCTCGTGTAATAGTCTTGCTGTTTAAGAAATATAATATGAGGACATGCGTGAATTCATAGAACATTCAGTTTGTATTAATGCCTGCAAACACTGGTTACAAAACAGTCTACGTACAACAATCCACTAAACTCTCACTGAAGTACATCAAAAGGAATAAAACATTCATTACAAAATCATGTATCATAAGCAAACATGGCTGCACACGTACAATGTGAAAAAGCTAATTCCAGTTAATTGGTACAAATCCGAGATGTCACGTCTGCACAGCGATCTAAGGAGCAAACTGGAGTGGATGGGCTTAAACTGGCGCAAAAGGGCTGAGCTCAGATTCTTACACAAAGAGAAAAGGAGGAACGAGCTCTCTGACATTTTTCACAGAGACAGGAGGGGTTTCCTAATTTAGTAATGCTGATAAAATCTGCTCCTAAAACTTGGATGTCAAACGTGTCGCTCTGAGAATTTTTGGCCGGTTAGAAGTGATTTCCTACTTGGAGACGCTTGATAACTGCAGGCCCCAAATGAACAAACTGGCAAAGAAGTGACGTTTACCTTCAGTAGAAACCAGCACCACGGACAAGCAGGGAAGTCAAAGTGGTGAGATGCATGAGCATGTTGGTCTTTTTATAGGACTTGTTGACAAAAAGAAAAATACCTTATCCTTTATGAGCTGCTCATTTGCTATGGATGCAGAGAAAGAAGTTTCAAGACGTTATGTTATGTACAGCTTCAACTTCAGGGTGGCTTTGATTATTTTCTAACTGAATTTATTAATAAACTGCTGCGTCTCTGTGTGTCGTGGTGGCAGTAAATTACATGATGCGAGTGGGGAAAAAGAAAACAGCCTGTTTGTTTGCTTCAGCCTTAAAAGCTTTAACGCCGTACAGGAACAGTTTCCTTACTGTGGCTCTTCTTCCTGACTTTATGTGACTTACAGTCACGTCTGTACGTAGTTTGGTTTCAATGGCATCTGAGAAATGTTTAACACATTCTTGTGTCTGATACTGGGAATGCACAGAGCTGAGCAGAATATGGACTGACTGGTTCATTATTAGGCGTTACCTTAGTACTTGTACTGTAGCTGGCTGATATTCGTGTAGTATTATTGGGAATTAAAGTATAACCAAACAGGAAATGGTTTCATATGAAGAATCAAAGTCAGAGAAAGTCATGAAAAGTGTGGAAACTTTGTCCCTCAGCCCCATCAGGAGTCGTGAGAAGCAAACTAAACACTGCTTTTCAAAATGTCAGGGTCCCCTTAGATTCCCCCAGAATTCCCCTAGATCTCAGAAAAGCCTCCGTGCAGATGTTTGAGAGTCTCTCTTGAACCCAGCTGATGAATTCACGAAGCTGGTGCACGTTCTCTCCTTGGGGCCTCCAACCTGGCAACCCTGCACATTGCCTACTCTGCTCTGATGACTTCTCTGATCATACACGAACAGCAAACCAGGCAGGTCTGCATGCACATCGAGAACCGGACCCATTTCTCTGTTACATACAGTAGAATTGCTTAAATATGCAGTCGACAGGTTGACATTAAGACTAGTTCAAACTCTGAGTCACTGGCACGAGGTTGTTGTAGTTCTGAGTCATAGATCCGTGAGCAAACCCTCATCCTTCTGTCCCACATTCTGTCCTCGTCCTCCTCTTCTCCGGTGAGTAAAACAAAAGTCGGAGGATGAGGAGGACGACTCTGAATGCCACCTTTTCTAAGAACGGGCATAGTTTGAGAAGGAGAGTCTCACTTTGTGCTTCATCTTCTCAGCCTCCTCTCAGCCTCAGTCCTAGCCTCCATCTCCTCCTCCTACCCCAAAAAAGCCAGAGCTTAAATGAGGAGGAGGAGGGGGGAGCTGAGATCAGACGAGCTGGAGCAGGAGGTCCTGGAAGGTGTCCAGACCCCAGCAGGCATTCCTCAGGGCTCCGTCTGAATCAAGCTGGGCAGCCAAGAGGAACAGCTTCCGGTCCTCGGTCAGGGAGCCCAGAGACAAGGCGTCGTGCAGCTCCGACACACTCACAGCATCGGGCTTATCCTGTGAACAGAAAGCAGTTCAGCTCCATTTGGCAACACATTACTGCACCTTATGGCTGTACGTCAGCTAATAAACTTCTGTGGTTGAAAAAAGCTAAATAGTCCTGTACCTCCCTACAGCGTGGAGCGCATTAGCATTGGCATTATCCTAATGGAACTCTTTTGTGTAATATCATCTACAAATATTTATTGGCAGGTAAAAAAAAAAAAAGTATGTAAAAAGATAAATGAAACCACTCTATATGGAAGTACATCCCCGTCACAGCGTTTGGGGCGCTCTAACCACATTTTGAACAATGCTCACTTTTGCTGTGTTTCCACTATCAGAATCTAACGAGCGGTACAACCTATACTTCCCTTAACCATCACTGAACGTAGCCTCCAGGGTTGATACCGACCGTCCAGACTTATTCTGGTAACTTTGGTCATTAAGGAAAGAACTGGTCCACATTATGGACAAAATTGTGTATCTTGACAACAAGCAGGTCCCACCTGTATAGCTGACTTGACTTTGATAGTAAGAATAAAATTGCCATTAACCTACATAATACACAGTCGTTACAAATAACTACATGTCATATTATCCACCGGTGGTTCTCCTTTATAATCAAAGCTCACATGTGAAGACAGTACACTTAACACTGCCCTCCTACACAAACCAATCAACCCAGGCTGCAGGCAGCGGATGTCCGCCTCCTATCTCTGCACCACACAGGTTCTACTGAAAACCTGCTTTGTACTGTTCAAACACAGCGGGTGGTGAGAACAAAGTAGAGGTTGGTGAGAGCGAAAAGGGCTTCTCCGACTGGAGACGTGATCCCTTTCATTGCACTTGTGATGTGCGCAGCCCGACAAAGGTTTGGGTTGTAGTCTTATCTTTAAAACAAGCCTTAATCTGTCGATTAAAAGGGTAAAAGGTTTGGATGCACTTTGATTATCTTTGAGACAATCTAACCTGAAACATTTCTGAAGCAAACCCAGGTTTTTTTTTCAGCTGAATGACGGTGGTTTGCCAGGGATTTAGTCACTGAAGTGTAGAGAAATAACTCGGAGATGTCTTCATTACTTTTACACAGTGCTGCAGCAGGAACTGCTCTGAAAACGACTTACCTGTAATGCAAGTAATAATACTTCTATTAATATCCAAAACGGTGGCGTGACTCATGGGAAGAACAGCACTTGAATGATTGATCCAGGCAGACACTTCACACAGTCGCTCAGACTGAAGTGCTTCTCTTTATGATTTTCACTTGTGAGAGTTCAGCAGAGTTCATCTACTCTTAAATTACTTCAGTGCACTGATTTATTATTATGTGGTTAAACTCATAAGCAGAAAAACATAATTCCTCACTGCTTCCAGCAAAACACTGCAAGATGTAAAGCTGCATGTGTCACTAGTTTGGCAGCTGTTTGCACCTTTGTAACATGTCAGCTGCCTCTGTGAGCATCAACACAAACTACTAAAACAGAAGCTGTTTGGTCATATTTGGTACCTAATTCTCCAGTAGAGGCTCTTATGAGAATTATTAATGCAGGTTTGGTGCAGAACTGCACTAATATGCTCATGTGCATTTAAAAAAAGAAGCAAAATAAAAACAGCATTTTAACATAATTTAACTTTGCCTCTATTTTAGTGGTCGACCGATGGGTCTTTGATGTGATCATTTCAAAGTTTAGCAGTGTTAGCTGAGGGAAAACCTGGATTAGTGACCTATCAACAGGCAGTAAATGTCTTGCATCTCTGCAGGAAATTTGCTGCCTGATGTTCCAAGATAAGACGACTGCTCTGCACAAAACACTGGTGTTTAGCTTGAACTGAAATCACATTTTTATGAGTTACTTTATGAGTTTCATTCCTTTCTTGCTAATGTTGTGAGCAGCCCACAGACTGAGAAGATGAAAGCTGCTCCGCTCTGACAGGGGATGTAAGAAATATTTCTGTTGTGCAGGGTGAAGAGACATGAGCCAAGGAGGAAATTTAACAGTGTGCTGCCTTTTAGGTGAGTATTTAATGTAAAGGACAGGGGGCAGTTAAGTTTCACTTCTGTTACTGTTCCCTCTTTTTTGCTTTGACCAGTATCATTGTCCTGTTCCTTCACAGGACATGCTTGAGGGATCATACCTTTTATCTCTGTGTCTTCTTTACATTTTTGCTAGAAATCTTTACATGCATCCTGAACTATTTTAGATTTTTTGGATGTGGATCATTAATCACCATGTGTTAATGCAGCACAGACTAAAAGTAGCATGTCATTCAACTGACTTACTGCACAACAATAATGTAATTCTGCCCAAAGCTGAATTGTCAAATCTGAAAGTTCACTGTGATGGATTGTTTAATCTTCAGAACTGCAAACTGTTAAAATGAATGGAAACCAGTGGCTGGCAAGTATCTGCCAGCTGGGCCTTGGCTCATGGAGTTAGGCCAGGCGCAGCCTGAACCAATGACATGGAGCCACTGCCCTGTGGACCCACCACCTGCAGGGAAAGGAATCAGGGTCGGGTGCAATGCAAGTCAGGCAGCAGGCTAGGTCGGGTTGATCTCTGGATGCCGGTGTGGAAGCATAAAAGTTAGCAAGGTTGATCTGCAATCACTGGGTTTTGAACTACATGTGCTAAAAGACTCAAGAGCAGTGATTTGGTCCTTTGTGAAGAGATAAACAGCACATCTGGTTTACCTGCTTGTTTCCCAGGATGACCACAGGCAGCTGTGGCTCCACCCTCAGGAGGCGGTGCAGCTCAGCCTTTGCCAGTGGGAGGCGGCTTCTGTCCGAGGAGTCCACCACATACACCAGAACATGAGTCCTCCGCAGGTAGTCCGTCCAGTACCGCCGCAGGTCTTCCCTGCCACCAACTGCAAAAGAGACAACAGTGATTCTCTATGATCGCCTCTAATGTTCCTGTATCATCTCTTACATCTGTCCACGTCATCAGTTTGCTTCAGCCACATCACAAATCGTTAAAAAGAGACTGGTGATACTGTCGTCTTTTGTGTAAAAACAAAAGAGTGCAACAACAGGAAGGCTTTCAAGCAGAGAGTGTCTGAAGATGTGCAACGTTGTGTCCTCATTTACATCTATCTTTCAAGTGCAATCAGTATTTGTGTAATAACAAAGCCACATGATGTGACGTGTGAAAGGCCTCTCTCATAATGACAAACTAGAGAGACTGATCAACTGACTCTGCAGCTCCCCTGGGCTTTACAGAGCTTTGCAGTGAGTTTTAGCTCATTGTTCATATCCAGAGCACAATTTCACTGCTCTCATAGCAAATTCAGATCCACCGCTGAACAGAGTGCAGCATTTAGCAGCTACAGGGCCAGAAGTAGAGACACAGAGCTAATAGAGATGGAGCCCTGGGCTGAGGCTCTACAGGTGGGCACAGACACACTGCACATGGAGCGTCATGTCGCTCTGTCATGGCTGAACTGAAAAGCTGATGCATCAGTGTTGTGTTCATATATCATCTTCCATTGAAAGTCTCTAGATCCATGTTCATTACATCTGTGATTCCAGACTTAAGGATTATGAAGTGTGATGTTTTGTCATAAAGAGTAATTTGTTACTGTGTGACCAGTTCTATAATTAGGTTATGTACCATTCATCCACCATTGCCTGTTGTTTGGGGAAAATGTGCTACTTTAATCATTTCAGGACAAGTCTTGTCAGCCCAGTCATATTGGACCTGCAGAGGATGCAGCCTCACTTGTTTCCACTGGGGACTCTTATAATTAAATAAGGGTTTAATCAGGAGGGAGTGATGTTATGAAACTCCAGCCCCTGAGGTTTGTGTTGATCGGTGTGAACCAGCAGAAACAGCAGCACATTCAGAGGAAACAGGAGCCAGTACAATGTTCTTTTATTGATCTATACAAATAATCTGTTGTCGCAAGGTCAGCTACAGCCACACAGTCACACCGCCCTGACAGATCACCTTCCTCAAGGGTGTTTCATATGTCCTTCGTGCAGTTAAAGGATGCAGCTTTCAAATGAATCTGACAGTTAAACAAATAAAGGAACAGGTCGATAGGCAAAATAAGACAAGCCGCTCACATTCCTCCTTTAAACAGATCAGCCACAGATTAATTCAGGCATGCACCGGACCAAATGAAATTACTAATCTGGTTTTCACCGAGGAATGAAACAGGCTAAGATGACACGTAGATATGATTTATACCCAACTTTTCCTGTCTCCAGACATCTTGTCAGTGATGCTCTGAGCAAAATATAACTGTGCAACTTCTCTTTTTTCTTCTTTTTAGGGGTTTGGATTTCCTCTTTCATACAGTTTGCTCTGGGTTTTTTTATATGGGTTTTGTTTTTGGGTTGTCTGTCCACCAGTGGTCAGGAACACCTTTGGGGAATTTCTTCCAAATGTTCACTTGGATTTTAGGGTGAACTCATTAGATTTTGGTGGTTGAAGGTCAAAGTCATGGTGACTTCACACCCATCTCATTCAGCTAAAACTGACTGGTGAGCGGAGAGCTTTGTTTTGGTCTGGTTCTTTATTTGTGTCCATGCCAGATGTTATTTTGTGAGCTGGTGAGTTTATGGAGTTCCTCAAATCAAGAAGAAAATCTAGTTGTGTCTACAAATATATGCCCTGACCACACACACAGTCTGTATATATAATATTAGGAACTTCATCCTGACACTTTAGCAGAAACTATAATCCCAGCCGCTCAAACCCTAAAACTGCTTCTCTAACTTATCTGATCTGCATCTTTTCATGTTTAAAGGCTTTTAGTTGGATTTTCCCAATAGACTTCATAGCAAGAACCCATCAGTGCCTGTGCACTGTGCAGCCCCTGATGAGTGTGCACCAAGCTGTCAACATGCCTGTGCATCAATGTCACTGAAACAAAGGCTCCTACATTTGCTGCGCTGACATGTTGAGGTGGGCGGTGGCTTGTGTTCCTCTTGCTTTCACAGATGAGAAAAGGATTATTTGCGCCCACTGGTCTCTATGTGCAGATCATGAATAAATCAACCATTACACGTTCCTCCGAATGCATCCACAGAAACTCATGCTGAAGCCGACTGCGGCTGAACAATCTCAGACTGGTTTACCTTATTTTTAGCACATCACTGTAGCTTTCAGTCAGATGCTAATTTATAGGGTTTATATGTTTGCAGAAACTGTATATGTGACCCTTCTTTATGGACCTACACTTCATTCATCTACTGGATGGGTTTTCATGAAATTATGTGCAGTGATTCATGATTCCCGGGGGATGAATCTTACCCCCCTTGGTGATGCCCTGCCTTTTATCCAGAGCCACTGGTAGTTCAAAGTTTCCACTTGATCGGGTTCCTGTCAGCTCCAGCATTACTTTAAAGGGCAACACATACTGGCAGCATTTCATGTTTGTCCAAACAGAGACAGTTTGACATTTTCTTGGTAAACTGTTTGCGTTGCCCTCAAACCAGCTACATTAAAATGGAAAACAAAGCCAGGTATCAGTAAAAACTTTTTCATGCCCCATTTTTAGGTTGTTTGTTACTGTTCAAGTTTAATGAAACACTGAGCAGAGAGATAAAAGCACATTTGTCCACTAAATGTTATTTGATGACAAAATCATAAATGCCTTCTAGACTCCACACAGAACATGAGGTTGTCTTACTCTCCAGGAAGTCGAGCTGACAGGCGGGGGCATTGAGGCTCATGAAGTTGAAGCCACGGGTGGGTCTGCAGTGGCGTCTCCTAGCTGCTGGTTCCCCGGGACTCAAACCCTGCAACATGCTGCTCTTCCCGGCCCCATCCAGACCGAGGACCAGGACCTGGCGTTTCCCACGCTCCTCCTCCTCCTGCAGGCAGAGCACAGAGATGTTTGGATTCCAAATGGAGCCAGATGTGCAGATATGTGACTTGAGGTAAAAATGAAACACACTTGGTGTTGAATAAATTATTTGCTCAGCTGTAACAAGAGGGGGTTTGGAAGAATAACTGATTTGCCTTAGTGGCTGACAGTAGATTAGCAGCCACACTCAAAGCTCGGTGCCCTCTCTCTGCACCTGAGAGACACTGGGCTGCCACAATTCCTCAGAGATCCTGCACATGTCAGTCATCTCGTTAAAAGTCACACAAGGTTAGTCTTTATTCATGCAGGTGTGTGGAGGTTAATTAGCAATTCATATCAAGGCTTTTAGAGCTGAAATGCATCAGTGTGAGCTTCCTTAACTTTGACGATGGATAATCCAAACTGAAATATGAGTTTACATCATTGTTAAAATGATACCTGCAGAATTAGTTTGTGTTATTCCTACACCACAGCTGCCCTGAATTTACACCAGAAAGAGGCCAAATGATACATTTGAGATATTCTGGTGAAGGATTTAATTGAGTCTGACATTTTTCTGGCAGTAACCTGCTGAGTAAATGTAGCAGCAGATAACTGTGGTTGCTCTGACAGTTCACTAGCCCTTCTCCATGTATTCCTGGGAAACGCAGGCCGCTCTCTGAGCCTCTCGGTGAGCAGAGAGCAGAGCCTGCACAGCTGTTCATCTTTTTTGCCGTTCTGGCAGCACTGACTTTGTACAAAAGGATCAGTTCTTGCAGCTCATCTGACTGGGTCCCAGGTTCAGACAGGAGACATTAATGTACAGAGTTGCATCTAACAAATCATTAATCACTGATTATTCTTTTGGTTAGCACATGGATCAGACATGTTTCCAGGCACTGGGCGTTAAGCTGCTGCTTCAGCTGTCAGTTCAAATACTCGGCAGACTGATTTGAAAGTCATTCATGCTGGTTCAGACCTTTCCTATAAAAAAGCAGCAATACTGTGCAGACTTCTATTGTTTTCCACACCACAGGAAGGAAACGAGCCCAGCTCAGCTGCAGAGCTGCCCTGCAGGGGCTGACAGAGATTTAACTTTTTGCTTGAGGACACTCCAGCAAAGTAACCCATGGGAAGCACTGGCTCGCCTGCAGCAATGAAGAGCAACCACAGAGCTGTATTTTATGGAGGAGAGGAGGAAGTGAAGGAAACTATGATCCTCTAATGCTGTCACGTATCATCAGCCCCTCGTGTTCCAGGAGTGCTTTGGCGATTTATCTATTTATTTATTTTCTTTGGTGTACCCACACTCTCTCTACCACATCTACTTTCTTCCTTTACTGGATTTATATTCCTTTCAACAAGGAACATAAATCCAATAAAGAAAGTGGTGGCGAAGTCAGAGCTGGAGGGCTGGATTCTTTTCAAATGATAATCAGGTGTTGATCGCCTTCAACTTAAAACTGATGTGATTAGCTAAATGTAATTAATAAGACAAAAAGTTAATGGATTCCAGTTTTGCTAAATGACTCATGTTTGTAGTCATGAGTCACACAAAAGCATCAGTCTGTTTGACTCCATCCTCACACACCTTTCTGATTTGAAGATTTATCTTTCTGTGTGTATTTTTGTGTCTTGTCCACAAGTGTTCACCATTTCCCTCTTTTGAACAATTATCAACTCTCTACAGCTACTCGATCTTAAAGGAACAAATATTTACTGACTGTACATCGCACAAACGTTCGAGTGGACCCTCCACAGACTCAGTGGATTCCTCTTCTTCATCATATCTCTAGACCTACATTACCCATAATGCAACTTGACCACCAACACCTGGGTCAGCAATTTGAGTGTCTTATGCTAGTAGTGGCTAGTAGCCTCGAGCAGCGATGAGGACAGAGGTTGACACCGACTCGAGTGACATCACTCGAGCACATTTATCTTTGCACAGCTCAGTTCTGACACAAAAACAGCTTCACACCTATAGCAGTACTCCCCAGTACCTGGAAACATACAGTGCAGTCAGACCTACAGCTGCATGCAAAAGTTTCTACTCTATAGGTAACAGAATCCAAATGCACTGATGGTCACTGATGATGGAGCATAAATATCACCAAAAAGAGTTTCTGATATGATGAAAATCTGATGGTTTCTATGGGAGACAGTCAGTTACAGTACAGTACAGCTGGTACAGTTCATCCAGCAGCTACTGTAAATCTTCCTCTGCTGCTTCACAATAAGCACGTGCAGCTCTCCAACCTGCCGAAACTGCCTCAGGTCAACAACACACCAACTCCTGTATTTTCCGAAGATGAAGACGTGACTGCAGTGCATCTTGGTGCACTCTGGCTCACGGGGTGAAAACATTTACGTCCCCTCTGCAGTGAGGCGCTGGTAGACACTGACAGCTTTATTCTCTAAAGACAGGCTGAGCCCGATAAACCAGGACAAGCCTTTTACCATCTGCTGTGGATTGAATCAACGAAACAAAATTAAAGACATGCAAATAGACTTTATTAAGAGATTCAGTCTGCAGCTGTAGTTAAGACCCAAAGTCACCAGGCTGCTTCACTTGTCCCTATGTCTGCAGGGAACTGAGGAATATGTGGAAAGACATCACATCTTTTTCTGTTTCTTTTCAACAACAGGGGTTAGAGCCTAAAGAGAAAGTCGACCAATTGCTCAGTCGATTGATGGCAAATATTTCTGCAGCTGTTGTGATGATCCATTAATCCTCAAGTCAGTTTTCAAACTGCTTGTCTGAGCATGCTTATGAACATTAGTGTCCTGTTTGAATCGTATTCCAGATGTGGAGTTTACATGGAACATGAGAAATCTGGTTGTTCGATTTCTGAACAAAGCAGCAATTTGTTTTTTTTTTACAGATGTACAGGATTAATGTACAGGATTCTTGGCTCTCGGTTGTTTTTACAGCTCTGCTGAATTCACCTGATCACTGAGAATGGAAACGATTTTTGTTCCACCTTTGTCTTCACATTCTTCTTGTCCATCGTCATCAGCCTCCTCATCTTCATCACATCATCACAATCGTAAGAGCCACTGGCACATCATCTTTTCATTATCTTCTTCAGCATCACCTTCATCACCTCTCCATCCTCGTCATCAGTGACATCATCAAAACCATCATCACTGTCATCTTCATCATGTTAGTAACCATCTTTTATATGTTTATCATCATCATTTTCTTTCTTCATCATCATCATTACATTTAACTTTCGCCTTTGTCACCACCTTATTGTCATTATCATCAGCCTCTTCTTCATTGTTCCCAAGTTCACTGCCATCATCATCACCACTGTCTTTACCGCCTACATCCAAACAATCCTCATCACCACCACCGCTCATTTATACACTATCACCATCATCATCATCACTGTCAAAGCCATGTCTCTATCATCATTATCATCACATTCACCTCTTCATCATCACCACTGTCATTTAGCCACAGATCATCATTACATTGTCTTCATCATCATTTTCATCTCCATAAACTGAGAATTCTGCAGTGTTTCCTTCATCCACTCAGTCTGTCACATGTAATAACAGACTATTAACCCCCTACCACCACCACCACCCCCCGTTCAAGTTCAACACACGAGTAAAATACGGTTTAAATACTATTTATAACTTGAACTGGTTGAGGTGAATTAGAGACACGCTGTCCCACCTCCTTGATCGTGCAGTATTCTGCTTGTGGTGACCATGTCCGCCTCTTGTAGAAGTAGTTCAGGGCGATGAAGAGAGCGGAGCCCAGGGCAGCCACGGCGGCGGTCAGGGCGATGGAGATGTGCCTGAGGAGCACCATATGTGGAGCGCACCAATGGGCGGCAGGAGCCAGGGGAGCCCGAGGGGTCGTCTCCGCTTCCTGGACACTGTTGAGACCGACTACCGCTTCCTTGTTCTTGTGCGGCTGCTGGACGCACTACATGTGACCGATACCGCGCTGCCTTCACTTGTTTTTGTTTCGAGACGCATCAGAGGGGAAAATGATGCATTCAAGTGCTGCATGTAAATGGAAACACGGCTTCCGGCATTTTCAGGTGCATTTCAGCTAAAGCCGCTACGATTCATTCGTTATTCGATAATACATAAATCACCAACAATTTTTATAATCGATTACCTATAGATATGTGTCAAGCACAAGTACCAATCCTTTGCTGTTCTAGCATCTCAAATGTGAGGATTTGATGCTTTTTCTTTTTGCCATAACAGTGGTGCAAAGTAATTAAGTACATTTACTTAAGTACTGTACTTAAGCACAAATTTGAGCTACTTTTACTTTACTTGAATAGGCTATTTCTATTTTACAACTCACTACATCTCAGAGGGAAAACTGTGCACTACTTTTTACTGAGTTACATCTCACCGTTTTGTTGTAGCTGACACAGAACTATTTTTCAGTGACATGTTCATTTGGAGCATATAACGTAGTTTGTTTCTTTCAACTCTAATGATATATTTCAAAGAATGTTTTAAATTGATTTGTTGTTTTTCTTAACCTTAAATATAGTTTCTTGATATTATGTATTAGCCTATTATGATGTGTTACAGTAGTGTTATTACAACTTATGCCCTGTAGGCTAAGCTATTGAAGTGGTTAAAGTGGTTTAAAAAAAAACAAAAAAACAACACTTTTTCAAAACATTTTATTTATAATATTTTGGAAAATTAAATAATCTTTCCATCAGTTAATCAACCAACAGCACATACATTTTCACCATCAACTGATATTTTTATATAATAATAATAGTAGCTAAAAACTCAGCAAAACATGACAAAAACAGAACAGCAGTGTAGGCCTATTCAGCGTCAACATGTAGCCTAAACATTTTTTAGATGGGAGGTCCCTTTTTTATCTAGTTATGAATTACACTGGTGCTACATTTCAGTAGCCTCTTCACACTGTCCCAATTTACTTGGGACACAAAAAAGTCCTAATTTAAAAACATGTAAACAATTTCAAACTACATTTTTTTAAACTACATAACATAATATAACACGAAATATGCTGTTGTTGATCTTTTCATACGCGCTGGAGACTATATCTTAAACATTTCCCATGGAACCTGAAGGCATCAGAGGCGCCCGGCCAGCCGGTGGTTTAACGATGAGAGCCGAAACACACCCGCTGGATCAGATTAAAACATGGATAAAGTCTGAAAATATATAGATCAAATTCCTGACAGAGTGATGATGGTTCTCATCATCGGGATAGACCTCCCGCAGTCTCGGTTCATCCAGGAGAAGACACAGATATGAGCCGCTTCATCTAGTGTCAGACTTTGTGAATTTATTTTGCTGTGCTTTCTCAAGAGACTTCATAAACATCAACAACAGGAATCGCAAGAGGGAACTTCCTGGAAATCTTCAAGGCCGCTCTCATATTAAGTGTTTGAATTATCAAACCCTCCATTTGATTAGACTTAGACTGAGCTGGGTGTTCCTAATAAACTGACAAATGAGCGTATAGGCTATTTAGAGATTTTAGCCTAAATAAAAGCAGCATTGTCCCATTGCAAAACTATTTATGAGTCTTGTATTAAAAATTGTATTAAAACCTGTAATGTCATCGTAACTAACTAGAACTAGAAGAGGAGGTGAAAAAGTAAGAGGAGAAAGATGATGAGGAGGAGGGAGGCAGGATTTAGTCTGAAGTCTTTGTTGTTTGTTTGATGCACAATTGTTTTTGTTTTCTTCTGCAATTTTGCCATTTGAGGAGTGCTACAGTAGAATATTAAAAATAATAAATAAAAACTTACCCCTTGTTTGTGTTGGTGTGCTGTGTTTGCTCTGCTTTGCACACAAGAAAATCTAAAGCCACAAGTGCTCCTGAAATTACTGTGTCACCCTCAGACCTAAGAGTGTCATTTCTAAATAAAGGAGACAGACAGCTGTTGGGATTAATCTAACCAAGTTTCACGAAGATCCAGTCAGACACAGACTGACTTAAAATCAGCCTCAGCATGAAGAGGATCCATTCAGCAGGTGTGGGCCTCCAGAGGGCGCTGTTTGCCTGACCGTCTGTCAGTAGACTGCAGAAAGCTGAGTGCCACTGTGTTTTTATCAACCAATAAAAACATGAATAAAAGAAAAAAATAATAAAGTCAATAAATTATCTCTTGCTGATTGTCATCACTATAGAAACTACACCCACTTTATAGTAAAATAAAATTACCTTAAAAGAAAAATAACAAATAGAATGTATACTACATGTGACTGTATAAACAACAGGAGAGGAAGAAGCAAGAGAAACTGATGCCATGCAGGGTACTATGCAAATGTTTTGAGCACTTTTTAAAAGGGCATGCACACTATAGTTTATTATGATGTAAACAAGAGAAAAAAGAAATATGTTTTCTGCCTTTAAAAGAGCATAATTTCTCCTCAGTACACATGCACATAGTTTTTTCAGATAATTGTCAGGTAGTGTGCAACATCTCTGAGAAGCCGCCACAGTTCAGTTTAGGCTGTCTCAGTATCTTTTGTGTCTTTAATCACAGACTGACTCCAAAAGCTTAAAACCAGGGCTCTGTGGGGGGCAGGCCATCTGTTGTAGGACTCCTGGTTCTTGTTGCTGAAGATAGTTCCTCTTAGTCATTTTATAGTCATTATGGTCATTTTGCATTTATTTATATTCATTTTGGATCTCATCATAGTTGTTTTGAATCTCTTTATAATTGTTTTGCATCTCTTTATAGTTGTTTCCATCATTTTGCGGTTGATTTGTATCTCATTTTGGCCATTTTTTGTCTATTTCTGAGCTATTTTGCAGGTAAGCTCCAGTGGCCCCAGACCCACTGGGCCCATTCAGCAATCCATGTGCCAAAAACCTTTGAGCAGTATTGTTCATAGTTAGTAAACAAAATCAGTGATGTAGTATTAAGTTTAACAGGAAAGTAAAAAAAAATGCCTCAGTCCATCATCAACACATGTTAACACATAATTTAGCCAATATCAGTCACAGCCCAAAGCAAAGGGACATTTGTATTTGTTTGACAATTCTTCCAGCTGTACTTTTTGTTTGCAAAAACAAATAAGCTTGAGCTGAATGAAAAGACGGAGGCTCACATTTGGCCTAAGTACTATAAGGTTTTTATAACAAAGTCACTTTGAATAAACAGGTCAAAACATTTGAGCAATTTTAATATGTTAATCTCACAAAGTCTCAGAAAATAAAACTTCTGATCCAGAGTGAACGGAGAGCTTTGGCATTTGTATAACGTGGTTATATACCTACAGTGACCGGATGTCTTAATTTGTTGGCTAAATTTGTCAATGCGTCTTTTATTGTGAAATCGCAGCCGGAAGCAGATAGAATTAACGTGTGTGACTTGACAGCGGTAGACCGGCCGAAGTCATAGGGACTGAGGAAAGACTTTACCGCCACCGCTGCAGCTGTTCCCCTCCCGTCCGGTTTTTAAAAGACACTATCCACCCAACGAACAAGTTTCTCGCGGATTTAGCGGATTTTTGCGACTCTGGTTTCGCGTGCTACTTTCTTCTCTCAGCGGCGCTCTGAGTGCTGGTTATCCCGCGGCTGGCGGCTAGCATCGGGTACTGCTGCTAAACATGGTGGCCTGTAGGTAAAAAGAAGAAACGAGCCCAGTTTGGGGATTTTACAGGATTTTTAAAGGCACTTGGACGGTTCCTACTGTGAAACATCGCTGCTCTGGATACATCTATGTCCTTCTTTTTGTTTTATTTAGAGGTTTGTGGACTTCGACGAGAGGCTGCCTTTCTGTTCACGTTGAAACCGACCAGCAACAGCACCACGGTCCACCGTTTAGTGGACCGTGGATAATCGTGTTTTACTTCAAAAGTTGTCGCCAGACTGCCTCAAAGTTTTCTATCCTTTTTGGAAAAGTTGAAGAACATGCGCTCACCAGCAGAAAAACACGGCTCAGTTTTATGAGCGCTGTGTTGATGTTATGGATGACTTGAACTGATGCACAAGGGCATGGAGCTATTTTATCCATCGAGATACTTTCTTTTAACAGTTGTGCCTTTTCTTGGATTCATTGTTATTCTGTGGATTGTTATGGATGATTATGGCCTAATTCAGACCTCTCCAGACCTCCATCTTTGGGAATCACAAGTGAATTCCTGATGCAGCTGATGACCGAGATGGCTTCCCTTCGTTATGATTTTGAGTAGAGTGGAGTTAATTACATGGAGACTCGCCTGACATGCCAAGGAAGGAGTTGCCACTACCCGAGGGTTGGGAGGAAGCCAGAGACTTTGATGGCAAAGTCTATTACATTGACCACATTAACAAATGCACCAGTTGGATCGATCCCAGAGACAGGTAGGAGAAGATGGCTGACCTTTGACCTCTTCCAGATAATCAATGATAAAGATCACTGGGAGGCAGGGCTGTGCATGTTGCTCTGCAGAGAATATTCATGTCAGGTTACATGTAGGGCTCGAAATTAACTTCCCACGACTGTCCTGAATCCAACTTTAAACTGTCCCAAACACAACAACCTTGGTCCCAGATGAAGGCCTTTTCTGCCACTGTACAGTATAAATACTAGGGGTAGACTGACTGAACATCTGGTCGATTAATCAGCCGATAATCGGCACCGACCCAGTTTTTGATTACTTGTAGACTGTTTTTAAAATCTATAAAAAAGAGGAGTGCAGAGTGTAGCAAATAGACAGTGCTCATTAATATTTCATTTTTAGATATTTGGTATAATTAAAATATTTTTTATAATTAATTGGTGTTAAATAAATGCCCATTTAAGTTCTGCAAATTTGTGTCTCATTTTTTAAAATTTTATCTGATGCAAAAAAAAACAACAACTTATCGGCAGTAAAATACATCGGTCCATCACTGATAAATATGTCCTTCTTTGTTTCATAACAGAGGTAGTGTTTTAAACTTTTCCCAGACTCAAGAGTCCAAATACACCTGAGTTTATGAGACAACCAGGTCATCAGTTCTGCTCCAAGACTAAACTTAAGTCAAGACACAGTACCAGGAGTTAAACACAACCTGACAATATCTAAAGATTAGAAGTTTTTATACTAACTATTTATTCATTGACTTTAGGGAAAATGTGCTTTATCGTGATATGTATTGTTATCTGGATATGAAATGATGAGCTGTATCGGGATATGAGGTTCTCTCGCAGAACCAGAATTGTTGTAACTGGGAAGTATGGGTGGGCATTAGAAATATTTTCTGAGGTCGAATAATCAAGCCAGTTGAAGTCAGTTATTTGATTAGTCACGATCTTGTCGCTGTGATGTCATCGCTATCGTGCCCTCCACCTCAGCAAAAACAAAACAAAAAAAAAGCTGCAGCTGCATCAGCCTTTATCACTTCCCTTGACAGCACTAAGACGAAGCCTGTCACCCACGCTTTGCTTTTTTGCTGAATCAGCCGGTGTATATCCCACCTGCTCTCCATGGAAACTGTGTGTGTAGCACACAGCCAGAAACGGTGTCATAAACATTAGTTCTGCTTCTCTGACTTAAGACAAAAATAAATGTCTCCAGAAACAAAAGATGTTTGTTTTTCAGCATTCAATGACTTTTTTGACTAATCACATAACTGTTGATTTCTACACATCTCTGTTGGAAAGTGATGCTATATACGGTGGTGATGATGAAAAATTGCAGTGAGAACAAGAGCAGTAAACTCGCCTGCATGAGTGATGTCTGGTTTCCAAACCGCAGTGTCGACCTTGGCGCTCGGAGGTCTCCCAGTGTGGCAGTTAGACGTCCTGTAGTGCAAACTGGATGCATCAGACAGATCTCAGGGGTGGTAGACAACATGTTCCCTCTTACAGTGATATGTTCATAAATGTGTTTCATTAACCTTGAAAAGGGAGGTAGGGCATAAACAGAGGACACGGCTTCCCCACTCCATGTCAAACAGAGAAAGAGCATGTGAAAAATCACCATGAGTAGGAAGGTGGAAGACAGAAGCAAGGATATTAGCCCTAAGAAATATCCCAGACAGTATACTCAGGTAGAAGGAAAAGAAATATATTTTGTTGGCCTGAAACAGATGTTCTCATTATGCATTAATATGACAGAATCCAAGGTGATGTCTCATTGTCCAGCTGTTCAAAACCCAGGGATATTTAGTTTACTATTAGTATTCAAGACCAAGAAAACAGGAATCATTTGGAATCAGAGCAGAAGCCATACTTGGTAGTCTTCAGGAGTTTTTCATTATATTTTCAATTTTTTTAATCATTTAATTTATATATTCATATTTATCATGAAGTTATGATTGAGATTTCAATAGAAATCAAGTCCGGAGGGTTGAGTTACCTTTTCTCCTTCTCTCTTTCATTCAGATTCATCAGTGTAATAGGCGTAAAGTGCCACACCGGCAGCACTACATAACACAGCATAGTCCCACTTGTATCAACACACACTGGAGAGTGACATGCAGATTTTCATGGAGACAGGTTTTTCATCCTCACCAGTTACTTAAGACCCCTCAGACATTGATAGCAAATTGCTTTAATGGTATATGTTTGCAGTTCTGACAGCTTAGGGTTCCTACAGGTCCTGGCTGTAGTTGGTGACTGACACCAACAGATTCTGTCTCTATAAAGGCAGTGTTGGATCAGACTGTGTTACTGCTCCCTCTGAAGCTTCATGTGGAAAAAGGCCATGAACAAAGTCAGAGCCTTTGGTGGTTTCATGCTATAGTGGGAGGATGAGCCACAAACAGCTGCAGGCTGTGGAGGAGGAAAGAACAGGAGATGCGCCGGCAGCACAGGGTCCAGACTGAAAGCAGAGCAGCCGACAGGTGCAACACATCTGTGGGAACATCTGCAGCAGTGTTGTCTGTCTTAGCAGTGTTTGGTTTCAGTTGTAGCGAGAAGGACACAGGTGTGTTCAGCTGCTGGATCACAGTGGTAACAACTGGAATTAGAATCACCGCTTCATGATTGTATAACTCTGCCGATCAGTCAAATTCATGGGGATGTGGCAGACTCATCACTCTGACCTTTGACCACCAGAATCAGGGTGTTCCTGAGATAACGTGTTCACAAGAATGGGCTGGAGAGACGACCTGAAAACATTATGAAAATGGAGGTGGATTGTCTTTACTTTGATGCTGGTATTGTTGGTAATATGGTTAATATCTTTAGTTTCATTAGGCTGTTGCAGGTAATACATTGCTTTATGGCAATAATGAAATTAGAGGATGTTTGTAAAAGTGATGAAATATGTTGATTTGTCACTTATATTTGTTGGACTCTAAAACATCCTCATCTGATTGTTTTGCTTAACTGCTCCTGTCTTGGATTTACAGTGAATGGACATGTTCCACGCCTCCCAGCCATAATCTGCAGGTAGACTGAACCTTCTGCCAGTGGTACATCCGATGCAGGGTAGTGTCTGTGTTTGACTAGTGGTTACTGTACGTGTACAGCACGTTGCTGTGGTCACTGCTTATATAAATCATGATGTAATGACAAGATGCAGGTTATTCTTGGCTCCAGTTTCTCACCTGAGGATTTGCTGCTTTGCATCATAGCAAACTGAATATATTTGGCCTTTGGACTGTTGCTCAGACAAAAGACATTTGTCAGTGTTGCTTTGAGTAACTGAGATCATGGAGATAACTGTTAGTTGCACCCTGAAAGTGAGCAGGTGCAGTATTTCTGCCGGTGCGTTCCACACATGATTTAATTGTGTGGTCTCTAGTTACTTAGGCTGTTAGTGAGATCACACACACACACACACACACACTCGTCACTGTAGTAGCTACAGGTGGAATGAAGACTTTCTCCTTCTAGTGAAAGTCGTCTAGTTGCACATGAAGAAAGAAGGAAGAAAACCTTTAGAAAACAGCACACACATTCCTGCAACACACGATGTGAAGGGCCAAGCAGTGTGCAGACTGGCCAGCCAATGGCCTGATTCATTTGAAATCCCTTTCACTGCTTGCCAAGGTGCACGGGGTCAAAGTGCAACGGGAGGCCCTGCAAACCGTTAACTAGGATGCGAACAGAGGCCGGCTCAGTCACAGCTGCAGTGTAGTTTTTCTAATATACACCCAACCAGCGTCATAAGTAATTTACTTGTGGCAGCTTACAGCAGCATGCAGACAGTGTATTGTTCCTTTAAAGTGGTTGGTTCTCCGTTGTTTATTGCGGTTTTCTCTTTCACTCTATTACCTCACTCCTCCCGTCTCGGGTGACATCTTCTGTTTGCTTTGGATTAGTGTCAACTAAATCTTTTCTGCCTGTCCAGCCTCAAAAACATTTACATTTTTGGCAGTCACATAACGCTGTTATCCACAGGAACGTTACATGAACGCCACAGGCGAAATAAGCTTTAATTCCTACATCATGGGTTTTGCAGAGGTCAGAGTTTAGAGCCACCTGTCTCCTGCAGTATTCACATGATGTTTGAAATGATTGTTTATGACAGAGAAGTTCTCGGAGAAGGAGACACAGTCAGCTTTGGATTTGGAGTCATGTGAAAACCCTCCCATTATAGTCTGTGGTTTAGGAATGAAGAAAGACAACAATCCTTATAGCCAGTGTTCTTTATTTGAATATCCAGCGTACCTGCAGCTGTACACGACTTATAGACTATAGTGCCAGTTTCTTGCAAAGCTCTCTTGCTACAGGCTGATCCTTTCTTTCTGGAAATGTCGTAAAGTATTTTGAAAAAGAAAAGAGTCCCTTTTTAAGAAGGCTGTGAGTTTAAGGGAGGCCGTGGGCTCTTAAAGCTCATTCAGCATATCAATGTTTCTAGAGACCTTTTCAAAGACTAACTTGAGAAAAAAAATTCCAGCTAAAAACAAAACAAGATAAGGAAAGAAAGTAAAATCTCAGGATGTTTTTCAGAAAAAGGGATCAGCCAAGGCACATTTGACAGAGTGCAGTATCATCTGTCCGCCCTTGTAGTGACACACCGAATGCATATTGTCAGGTGAAAAGAATGTTATGTGCCAGACAACACGCTGCTGCTGCCGTGAGAAAGATAATACTAAGAAAGACGAGGACATTTTTGCTGTAATTTGCCTGTTTTGTGATGAACTCACACTGTTGTTTGGATGCTTTGTCAGTTGACACTGTTAACAGAGTATTTATAACTATGTGTCATTATTTTACTGCTGGACCATGAACGACTATATAGTTTGACGCCTCATAACTTCGCTTGAGGAATTTTAACACCGCTCTGAATGAACATTTCTCTGCGCTGGTATCTGACTCACCACTCAGCTATGCAGCCCGCCTCCCTGTGTGTTTGCACTCTGACACATGCTTTGTCAGTTTGCATTAGAGGCCCGGGCTGGGCTGTTTACCTTGGTATGTAAAACCTCGGAAGGTGTGCGTGCTCGGCTTTGGCTGATATTGGGGTTCTAACGGCCAGTACGGAATCAGAATTAATATCCTGCCAATCAGTTTTTGACCACTTTGATGTCAAAACATTACAAGACTCCTGCTGAGTTTTAGTCTTGGTTTGATAAGCTTCTTATAAACACGCAGACCGTCATGTGACACTAACACTCTCCACTGAAGCCTGTATTTATTAATTAATAAGGTTAGCAGTTATATAAGGCAGAGTTATCCACTGTTCTGTGACCACAACCGTGGCTTAATTTTATTATTCCTCGGAGGCACTATGTTTTCAGGTTGTTTGTCCGTCTGTCCGGCCTGTCCTTGTAAGTGTGATATCTCAGGATCTCCTGGAGGGAATTTCTTCAGATCTGGCACAAACATCCACTTGGACTCATGGATGAACTGATTAGATTTTGGTGGTCAAAGGTCACAGTGAGATAGATAAATATTTTCTTGATTAACAGGATGTCTTTCACACTGTCTTGTTTTGTGCAACCAACTGTTGAAAGCAATCAGGTTTTTTTAGTTCTTTAAAAATCTTCATATTTGGGAAGGTGGAACCAGAGAATATTTAATACAGAATAGCATTTATGCATGAAAAATAATTTTAATTAATCGCTGACAAGTTAATCGCTAATTAATTGCTGTCAGGTTTTCTGTGGATTGATGATCAATTCATCACCTCATCATTTCAGCTCTACCCAGGACATCGGTGGGAGGATAAAGATCCACTTGCTGTCCTTTTGAAAACAGTAACTGTCTTGTAAAAGTAAAGATAAAAAAATTAAAGTAGCAGGTGTTTCAGTGTCTGGCTTCTCCGTTGTACAGGTGTAGTGTCATCTGTGTGTGGGCTTCTCAGTGCATGTTTTCACAGCTAGTACTTGACTAACCCTTGTAAAAAGTACATGAGCAGCACTGCGGTGTTTCGGACTGGTCATCAGGCAGCATGCGGTCGGTCCATTTGGATCACTGGCAACGAGCCATTTTATCGAAGCCATCTGATGTGAAAGCCTGGGGAAGCAGCCACGGTCACCAGTTCTAGATGTTTCAGCATTTAAATGGCATTTAGGTCACTCTGGCATTGTAGGGGTTTTGATAAAACAAAACATTTTTGAAGCATTTTGTTTAGAGTTTATGTCGACAGAAAAATATTTTAAATCGTAAATTGTCCATAACAATGAAAAAATCTAGATGTAATTGTTTTTTGTCATATTGCCCAGTGATCAGCTTTGGGTTTAGGACTATTGATCGGACAAAAGAAGACATTTGATAAAATCACATAGGACAGTTTGGTGATGAAAGGATTCATTAAATAATTAAAAAGTAGTTGCAGATTAATTAAAAATTAAACCACTTAGTTGCGGCCATGTTACCATGGTAATAGCTTTTGTCCATGTTGTGTGGGAGCTGCCGCCATCGCAGGTACTTGGAGCACTAAAGCAGTGAAGCATGTGAGAAGCACTGCAAGTGGCTATTAAATGACTGTCGGTGAAATGGAGGCTGGGCCGCCGCTGCCAGCTGGTCCTTTGCTTCGAGAGGAAACTGTGACGGAGAGCAACGAGGTTAGGCCGGTGGCTCCCCTCGGCCCTGCGATTAGAAGATAGGATTTAGTGGGTGAAAGCACAGAGCAATCAAATAATGGGATGTGGGTCCCCAGCCAGCCAACCAGCCAGCTTTTTTGGGATCAACGGCTGGCAGAAGCCTCCCTGTCTTCCCAAGCTAAATTTAGAGCAGAGCTGAGGGGCCTTCTCTGGGCCCCTTTCATTATTTATCAGCTGAAAAAGGACCCAGTTCGGTTTCTCTCTTCAGCAGGGTGCTGCTGCTGTGCGGTTGTGTTTATCTGCCATCATGAAACACAAGAAGCAGCAGAGGAGAAAGGCCAAAGAGAAGAGTCTCACTTTTACCCTGCTCCTTATTGTCTTGTGATGAAATCTCACTGGTGGTTTTCCTTACATTTGTTTGTTTAGCTCTTTTCAGACATATGAAACACTGCTGTCTTCATCAGCCTGTCATCCAGACACCGGTCACTTTTACATTAATGTTCCTCACCGCTTCCTTCAGACATAACCACAACTGTGACAGAGAAAGACACACACAATATTTGCATGGTGGATGAATGTGGCTCCGTTCCGTTAGTATGTTTTCCTCATGTTGTTGCTGTTTAGGGCATTTAACAAAACCGTGAGCTACAGTATATAATTTCCAAGTCGTATTATGTTGACTTCAACCATAATACTGATGGAAATATCTGTCGGCTGCAGTGGTCGACTGATATGGGTTATTTAATGGACGATACCGATCTTAAGACAGCCGTCCCCCGTTTTCACAGTATGGGATGGAGTTGTGACCCCTTAGAACAGTACTAATGGGCCTGTTTGACCCGTTCTAGACAATCCTGGCTTAAACGCTGATAAAACAGGACACAACTGGTGTCACACTTTCCTGTCATTACATGGTGAGTTTCACTGCTGGTGCAGTAGAAGCTAAACATTATCATTACCGTCCAGGTAGGGTTAAAATCTTTGTCCCGCTGAAACCCTCTCACTCAGTCAGGTAAAAAGGAAAAGTGATCATCTGACCATGGCAGCTGCAGTGCACTCGGAGGCCATGGGTTGCCCCAGAAACCTCCAGGCGATGCATCGTTGCTGCCTGTGGAATGTCACTGGCTGGTTTCCTCCTATTGTGGCTGGTTAGTGGGGACCCCCCCCCTTGGAGGTGAATAGAGGACTCAAACACTACCCGCCCCTGCCCCTGTAGGCCACAGTAAGAGCCAGTCCACACTGGCTCTTACTGTGGCCTACAGTCAAATAACTCTTTATAGAGAGGAAAGAGGGAAATAGAAGTCTTGTCATTTACAGTAAAGCTTGTATGCAGTGAATAATACAGAAGAAAAGGAAGGAAAATTGCATATTAAATCACAATATTGAAAAAAAAAAAAAAAAGCAATTAGACTATTTTCCAAAATTGCACAGCCCTAACGTGCACATACCAGGCATGTGTGTGTGTACTGACCGGTGACAGATGAAAGGAAACCACTGACTAACATTCAGTATGTTGTCGAACATGGTGATAATGGTGTTTTTGTCTCTCAGACTGTTGAGGTCTATGATGTTTGTGGAGTGTATTCTGTTTCTTAGTCTATTTTTTGATGCTGTTTTCTTTAGGCAAACGAAGCCTTTGACGTTTGCTGATTGCATCGGCGATGAGCTGCCGGTGGGTTGGGAGGAGGTGTATGACCCCGTTGTCGGAGCGTACTCTGTCGACCACAACACCAGTGAGTTCACTGGCTGCTATTCCTACTGCTCATCTCTACATCTGCCACTCCATGTTTGGTTCAGTCCTGTCTTTAATTCTGCCTTTTCTGCTTCCATGTTTACACTTAACTGCACCTCCTAATGGGTTTGCTTGTATCTTCTGTTGTGTGCCATAACTGTGAAGATGATATAAGAACTTTCTGATAATTTTGTACTTTACTGAGCAGACTTAACATTGTTGTTGTTCTTTGCATAAACTGGAAGAATTGTTGAAAAGTATTCAGTTTTCATGGACCATTAAATACAAATAATATGAAACAGATGAGTATGTTTGTGTGTTGTTGCTACAGTTCTGCCAGATTATGTTGCTCATAACTCATCTTCCTCCTCATGACCTTTTTCTCCAGAGAGCACTCAGCTGGAGGACCCGCGAGCCCAGTGGCAGCGGGAGCAGGAGGCCATGCTGCGAGACTACCTGGCCGTGGCCCGCGACGCACTCAGCGCCCAGAAGGAGATCTACCAGGTGAAGGAGCAGAGGCTACGCCTGGCGCAGCAAGAGTATCGGCAGCTCAATGATACGTGGAGGGACAAGTCGACATCACAGACTAGCTGTGAGTACAGCGGAGGGACTGAGGGGGGAGAAACACCACACCTGGTGTATCTCGACTCATTTTACATTTAGGGACTGGAAGTGAGAATTGGAAGCAGAGTCAGGAAATACAAAAACGGGAGGGAACTAGGATTTGACAGCTTGTAACACAAAGCAGGAGATCCTGATGAAGGGTCAAGCAGATACTGTCCACACCAGAAAACCTAAGGCACATGGCTTCGTTAAACTAGAAAAGTTAAAAAGCCTTAATTCTCATGGATATGTGGTTAAAAACAGGACCAGCTCCAGTTGACTCAGTCCTCAAACACAGTAATGTACAGACAAGCCTCAATCACAAGAACACAATGACAGTGATGATAGTGTTTTAAAAAACTATTAAGTAATTACACAGTAATGAAAACCTTTATACCTAACCAATACAAGTTTTGAATGTAAATTAAAATTAATGAAGAAAATAAAAATGAAAGGGGAAAATGCTAATAAGGTCAAATGAAAATAACTAAATAACTTGTTTGCAGCTTGACCTCATTCCCAGCTACAGCTCAGTAATGACAAATATAAGTGGCAGACTCCTCAGAAAGAGGATTTTGTGTTTAACATAAAGCTCTCTTTTCTCTTTATATCTTACCTTTTCTGCAGTGAATTCCAGGTCGTCCTCTTCCAGCAAGTACGACCCAGAGATCCTAAAAGCAGAAATCGCCACTGCCAAAAGTCGGGTAAGAGCCTCTCATTCCTGTTTCAACCACATAACTTGCCAGGCTTATGTCTGGCTGATACTGGATCAGCTAAACATAAACACATCTCTGTAGAGCAACAGTCATTATTTTCCATCAGTACATTAAACACTTAGTGGATAAGTGAAAATGCGAAGTAAAAAATGGCCAGTACAGTGTTCTAGAGCTAATTTTGACACTACAGTCTGAAATGCAAAAATATTCAGGTCAAGTGGTGTGAAACAGAAAAGCACCTATGAACATGACTGTTCAGTGAGAAGCCCCTATACACTGCCCGTTCAAGGTGGGATTATCGCACCGCTTTTCATCCACACCCTTACGTATAAAAGGGTAACCAAGCCAGCAGGGGGGTGGGATAGTTTATAACCCCCTTTATTCCACCACAAGAGGTGGTGAAAATTGGTGCAACCGTTCTGCCTCGGCCTTAACGCCAGTGTAGCGGTATCTCTGTGAGAGAGAGGCTGGAGTTTGTATTGAGAGGCAGTCACATGTCAGGGCAACACCTTCCATTCCAGTGGAGTAATTAGTCTCAAACCACATGACCGTGCACTGACCTCATTCCTCCTGGATGTGATTTGTGGTTTCAATTCCTTATCAGTTGCTGATTTAATTGTGTTTTTTAGCTGGGAATCATGACGATTTTGGTCTTTTCACAGAGTTTACTGGAAATAACAAAAATAAAAAGTATCACCCACATTACTCCTTAAAGTATTTCAAACCCTAATAGTTTTCCCCTGTATATCTGCTCCTCCCTCTCCTCTTTGTGTCTCAGGTGAATAAGCTGAAGCGGGACCTGGCCTGTATGAAGCAGGAGCTGCAGTACAAAGAACAAGGCTTTGAGACCCTCAAAGAGTAAGTGGTGCATCCAGACACCTGCACGCAAACACCAACACACCTCCCCCAGCATCCCCTGTCTCACCTGTTTTAGTCCAGCAGGTATTTGTGCTTCATATGTGGGCTCGAATTCACTTCTGGAAGCTTTCCAGTCGGGCCTCATCCACCTTGAATCCTTGCTGGAGGACACATTGACAGGTGTATTTACTGACACCTGAGTCTGGGATTCGATCCTCACGCTCGAGGCTAGCAGCAGCCCTCCACATTTAATTTGACGTGCAAAGGGAGACAGAGCACGACTTGAATAGCAAGTGTATTTGTGACCTTGCCTCAGTCTTCACAGTTTTCACCATCTGCCTGCAAAACACCTTCAGCTTAGGTTTACTGCTGAACAACTGTAGACTGTGTGATGAGAGTTTATAGAGTCATTCCTTAGCCATCTTCTAAAGGTTAATGTGGTATATTTTTATATTTCTTTAATAGGGACTAGTTTTCTAAGGTCGGTGTAAAACATTGGGCTCAGAAAGTCAGGCCGAGGACTGCAGGTAATGACTATATTTCAGTGTGGATGGGGGAAATGGTCTTCTCGAGACTGATGACATGAATCAGACTGGGTACTGATTAGCAGGAAAGTCTCTTGTGACTTTGTCAGCGATCGCTCAGTTGAAGTGTCAGTATAACCTGCTGTCATTAACCTGTATTTATCTATTTATTTTTCTTGTCTATTAGCAATGTAATGATAGTTTTAATTTCAGGATGTCATGACAGAAAAACATCTTGATAATGTCATGGGATTATAACGGTATCTACACGTGGTTATTTTGTTAGTATAACTGCGTGCTGGTTGCAGAATTTCAAACTGACAAAGCGGATGCTCCATCGTCGACTTTTAGAGCTGTTGTGTGGCAACAGTTCAGTTTTCCCATTTCAAGAAATTACACAGGTGTAAAGGAAACTTGACAAACACAGAACAATTTGCAAATACTCTAAGATGAAGGCAACATTAGCCCCTTTATGGACTTGGACAGTCCTGGATAAGTCTCGCAGAAACAGTTGGAATGCAACTGCCTGCAACATTATAATGGAGATGGGCAAACAAACCGGACCCACATACACAAATCCAACCACTTAGTAACCACCCTTAAGATCTTTTTTCTTGAGAAATAGACCACAATGTTTGAAAAACACCTCCTGTAAAGCACAAACCTCTCCTTTATGCGGCTTGTCCTAGTTTGCCGTCTTCCTCTCATTCTGGTGTCGTAAGCTGCGGTTTGCCCAATCCTGCCCCCATTGGTTGACGGGATACGAGCTCTTTGCCTGGCTCTTATCTGTCATTTGTCCTGTTCTTACTCTTTATCCATGACACAGTCATTCAGGCGTCACAGGAGTGCTGTTGTACAGCAGAGATAAAGGGACGCTTTCATTTATGTTGCACTTAGTGGATTTGGCCTGTTTAACCGCTGGTGTTCTAAACCTGTATGTTTATGTGGAAATGTTGCTGAGACTGGAGAACATTGGACACTACGCCACAGTAAATGGCTGCTTATCACTGCAGTTATTGCCTCGGCATTATCACACATTCCATCCGATCATTAAACTTAAGCACCTGTATAAACACGGTGATGGAACAACAGCTGAAGAATGTTGATTGGACAGGAGACGCCCCTTCTGTCTGACCTACTGCTACACCTCAGAACATGAACCAAGTTCTTCAGAAGGTATAGCGGTGAATCACGCTCATTTGAAAGGGAACAATTGTTCCATTTGTTCTGTGACTCAGATGAAGCCCGTTGATGCTTTTAATTTCTTGAAATTCAACACTGGAAAGCTGACATGCCAAGCCGCTGTGGGTCCACGTTGAATTGAACAGGAATGTCTGGTCTGTTTTTCTTGCCTCATGCTGAACAGTGAGAGTGTCAGGAGGATTAAAGAGTA